GGGGCGCGGGCCGGAGCTTGGAGGCCGCTGCCTCCCTTTGTGTGGCGGCGCCGCCCGAGCGCGCAGGGGCCCCGCCGCGGCGGGCCCGGGGCGCCGAGCGCCGCCTSCCCCTGTTACTTCCCCCGGGCCTGGGCCGTGCCTCTGTCCCAGTCCCCGGCCCCTGTCCCGGGTGCGCCTCAGCCCTTCCCGCCCTGTTCCCGCCGTGTTCCCCGTCCCGGCGCCGGGCCGGGCCCGCACAGTGACAACGGCTGCTCCCGGAGGGGCCTGGGGACAGCAGCGGGTCCTGCCCGCCGTGCTGGCGGCTCCGGGACACCGTCCTGTCCAGCCRGTACCCAGAAAGGGGTTTTCTTTGTCTCCTTCCGGGGATAACACCTCCTTTCCCGGGCAGGGGCTCCGGCAGTTCGGGGAAATTACAAATTTGGCATCTTTGTTTCTTGTCYCGGTGTTGATAAAACGATGAATGTGTTGTCCCTCTCGCTTCTTCGCCAGCTTTGCCGTTTTACAGTGTCTCGTTGCTGCCGTCCCCCTCTTCCCATCCCGTAGCAGGTTTCAATGGGATCGATAGCCGGGGGAAATTCTGGCTGCATTTCCCTCCCTTGTTCCCTTTGCTAAATTTACCTGGTTTAGTGTTTCTGTTGAAACGTGAGAGATCCTGATAGCGATAAATACTACACGTGTATTTATTGGCTTTTAACTCTACTCTGCCTGGAGACAGAAAATGAAACGTGYGCTAGAAGGCATTGTTTTATTTTAAGTGTGTTGTGTCCACTTTTCGTGTAGTGAGATTGGACTGGGTGACACTTGTGGTCAGTCTATACAGCTTTGGGAGAGACAAAGCTGCTCCCGTTGTGTATATGTCAGTATACATGTGAATTAGCAATGGCCAAAGCATTTCTTGCTGTGGTTTTGTGACATTTTTATGACTGGTGGGAGCAATTGCCTAGGAGGTGCTCAAGCTCCTGTTGCATTGGAGGTGGCTCCTTTGTCGCGGTGGAGATTCTTGGTGTGACTGTTGAAACACTTGTGAGCCAGCATTGAGATGGCAGAAGAAAGCCTGGTAGACAGGTTCTTAAGTAAAACAATATATTGCTGTGCATAGCAGAGTTCTCTGTCCTTATGAGTGTGGAGATCTATCCAGAGAGAAGTTTGTGTTTTGGAGCCTCACATTCAGCAAGAKTTTGATATCAGCCCGTCTCTCACTGACTGTTCATGGTGTTGTCCAGACTGAKAGGTGTTTTGCACGGTAACTGAGGGAGAAAAATGCATTTTGGAGGCTGTGTCCAAGTGGTGAGGGTGTCTTTGTCACACCAGTGTCCACCAGTGTCAGAGTATGCTGAGAACCGCAGCGTTCATGCCTCGGCTAATGGAAGTAGAGCAGCTGATGTGCAGTTTGCAGTGCTGGTTGGGAGGTTCCCAAATCCTTATTTCAGGATGGGATTAGACTGAGTGTACTTTTGGGCTCCTGGTTGAAGCAGAATTACTGATTCTGGTAGTCCCTCCTGCCTTTCTTCCACAACCAAGGGCTTGTGTTTCCCAGTGTGTGCCTGGTGGAGCCACTCCAGACCTAGGTCCTCACATGCGAGTTGGAGGCAGTGCCAAAGCCATGGGGCTGGCTGGCTGTTCCCAAGATAAATTGCCTGCTGATAAAGCACASAGCTGCTCTGCATGGCTGTGTTATGAAAATGTCCAGAGAGCTGAACAGGAAAAGAAACTCTCAGGGGGTTGATTGAAGGCAGTAGTTGGATGAACTACATAGAAGCAAACATTTTGCCATAAAACGGTTCTGTATATTTCACATGGAATTTCTGGGAAAAACATCAGACTTGGAGACTGCTTAGAAATTGAAGTGGTGTATTTTTAGTGTATGGCTGCATGCTTATTGCTTACTTCTGAGTATAAAAATCCACTCTGAAGAGTGATGGAGGTGCATRATCYTAGAGTTATTGTTTGTTGACCTTRAGATTATATTGTTATAAGCACTATACTGCTTTGCATTCTATAACTTCTACTGCTTTCTGGTTTGTACTCTCGGGTCAGATATCACTTCTGTTTACTCTCTGCTCTGCTTGATGAATCATTCTCTAGCAAGTGGCTGTGAAATATGTAATGCATATTCAGGAACRTTAGAGAAATGTATTTTTGCTGTGACAATGACAGAAGTGTCTAGCATTCTGTGCACAAAATTACTTTGTAGAGTTTCTGCTGGGCTAAAAAAAGTTACCTTCTGTTTCTTGCTTTTTTTCTCTGTCACTGTAATTATCTATTTTATTCTTTGAATTTATTCTTTATCTACCTACTCTGAATTTTMTTCTCTCYCTMTTTYCTTTTTCTTGTCTTCTAGTTCTGGCTGTACTAACACCATTACTGACACTCTTAGAGTGTCACCTTCTCGCAGTATTTGTGCTTGGCCATCAGACACTATGAGGAGACTGGCTTTTCGAGGTGCTGGTTCTACTCTGGTAAATCTGGTAAATTATTGATTGTATCTCCATTCCTCTGCCTTGGCCTTTTGCTTTTCTTTTTCGTAATTGTTAATTATTCCTACCTTAATCATCTCGTGTGTGTGCTTGAAGTTATCTCTGTCTSTAACAAAAATGCTTCAACACAATTATATTGTGCTGCCATACCTTGTCAATCATCTGAGTGGCTCCTRAAAGGAATTCCTGGATTTGGTTGGAAAATGGTTATAGGCTGGGATAGATGGATCTGTTCTGTCCTCAGCCACAAATAAAGGTATTTTTCTGTTGCTGTCACTGGAAGTTAGGAAAGAGCCATCAACTTTTTTCATAAACTACCATAGTTGTTGGATGGTGGTTCTTCATTTGTTGCTGCTTGTTTTGGTAAATGCAAAACTATGGCCAAAAGAGGAGGGGGCGTTTTCTGCTTCTCTGTAGTTGAGCCATTCATCCCACACATAAAGGGAGAGTAGGAAGGTCCCATAGTGATCCACACAGTTTTTTCACTTCAATATAACACAAAGTGTTATATTCTGTGGCCCTTCTCATTTGTAATTTGTTTTGTTTGTTTGTTTGGGCTTTTTTCTTCATTGGTCTGGTTTTTGTGTTTTTTTTAGTTTGACATGGAATGAAGTGCTTTTACATCAGGACTGAGCATGTGTCTTTGTACAGCTTTTTTGTTGAAAACAGTGGTTCTTGCTTAATTGTCATGCATGGGATGGGGTATAAAAATATAGAGGGTTTAAGAATATATTTCACTAAAGMTGCTAAATTCACCTCCATCACTGTGAGCTTGAAGGTTTCTGGCCTTGCTGTCATTGGTGACTAAAAAAACTGTAGGAGCAATTCGGTTTCCCTTTACTCTATGGACTTCTCACAAAGTTGGTGTTTACAGAAACAGCTTAATTGACCTGTAGCATTTAGCACATGTATGTAACTCATCAGAAGCTTTGTTAGCTCTGCAGGTTGCTCTCAGCAGAGGGTTTGGATGCAATGCCAGGGCTTTAAGAATGTTTGTGTTCATTATAGAAGAAGTTGGATTCCATGGGTTCCAAGAGGCGAAGAGCTACTTCTCCTTCCAGCAGCGTCAGCGGCGGAGATTTCGATGATGCCCATCACTCCACCAATATACCAGGCCCAAGCAGGAAGAGGAGGAGACTTTCCAATCTCCCAACTGTAGATCCTGTTAGTACCTTCTTACTACTTGCACCTCTTTTCTTTTTTTCTTGGGGGTACTGTATCCGTGTCTGGGATATGCTGGATTGTAAAATTAATGACCTTRTGTAGCACATGTACACTCATCCTGAATCTTGCCTAAGCTTTCTTTAGGATCTTATTGAGCTTTGGTTTGATCCTGACTCCCCAGTTTCATCTTTTTCTTTCCTGTTTTGTTTTTGCTGCTTTTCTCCCTTTGCTGATGCTTTTAGCATGTGGAAGGATGTTGGAGAATGAGCTGAAATCATAATGTGCAGAAGTTGAGAGCTGTGTCTGCATAGCAAATGCAGAGAGGGATAAGTGGGGAATGGCACAGGCAGTGATTGCTGAAGTGTACAAAGCCTCTGCTACGCCTTTGCATGAGCAGTCTAATGTTGATTAATTGCAGGGCAGAAGAGCTCCTGTTGTTACTATAGAGGCCTGTAACTTGGAGAGAATTGTACTGAATTAATTTATGTTTTGGGTGTTTTACTTAGAATTAGCATTGAAATAAAACTCCCTGGGTTCAAAAAATAAATGGAAATTTTGCAATACGTGGCATACTTGCCAGGTATCCTGCTAAAGTGTGAGGTGCTCCAGTTGCYTTTCACCTCTGCTTTAGGGCAAGCTGTGGATTGGCATCTTGTCTTTCCCCTTGTAAGCAGGCTTTGCTTTGTTACCTCCTCAAAATTCTTTCTTTTTTTCATTACTTTATTCTTGCTTTTCAGATTGCTGTCTGCCATGAGCTCTACAACACCATCAGAGACTACAAAGATGAGCAGGGCAGGCTCCTTTGTGAGCTCTTCATCAGGGCACCAAAGAGAAGGTAAGACCACAGGTCTGGTTAAACCTTGAACCTGAGATTCAATCAGGGGGAAGTGGAAATTGATAAATACTTCAGCATTCATTTGTGAAAAACTTAAGCTGCATTTTTTGTAGTTTCACACCAGTGTTTGATTTCAAGTSTTTGATATAATTATTCAATAAGAATTGCATTGTGCCCTTTTTCAGGGAACAAAAAGAATCCACTGAATTAATTTAAAATGTTTTTTTTAGCGCCTGCCTTTGATTATAAAATATTCTGTGTAAGTGGTGGGGCATAATACTAAAGACATAGCTTGGGAAGGTTAATAGAAGTGACCCTTGAAAATAGCTTGCTTAGCTACTTAGCAGTAGCTAAGTAAGAGGCTGAATTTTGTCTTAAACTAAGAAAATTGAGGACAGTAACAGAATAAACATAAAGTGAGCTGACAGATAGACCGCTATCTAGATCTTTTAGCTGTAACAAAAATATATTGGTACTTTCTTTGGTTTATTTAATCATAAAAATGCACAAATTTTAGTGCAGTGGTTTTGGTTTTACTGCTTGGAATATGATGCCTGTTTCTTTCATYGCAACAGAAATCAGCCAGATTATTATGAAGTGGTTTCTCAGCCAATTGATTTAATGAAAATCCAACAAAAGCTGAAGATGGAAGAATATGATGATGTGAATGTGCTGACTGCTGATTTCCAGCTTCTCTTTAACAATGCTAAGGCTTACTATAAGGTGAGCAAACTACATGTAAAGGCTCAATTCATTGTAAAAGGGGTGCAAATTCTTCCTTGTTTTGGCCAAAATGTCTTCAGTTTAACCTAAAGTATTATTGGTAGGAGAACAGCGTCCACTGCAGTTATTTGCAGGTATTTCCATGGTGTTGACTATATCTTTCTAAGATGTCCTACTATATCAATTTTTTCTGTGGAGAATTTTAAAATAATGTGGGAAGGATCTTCATGTAGTTTTCCAAAAGAGGTCAAAAGCAAAAATGCAGATATAAACAGAGAAAAATTCTCCTCTATCACTCTATCAAAGCCTCCTCATTTTACAACACACTCTGTGTAACCTTTTGAAATGGAGAAAGATTTCCCTCCCCTCCCCCAGAAGGAAATGTTTATACRTAACAGCAAGCTTATGGTAGGAGTGTTGAATCTTCCTCTTCCATTTGCCACTTAATAAAATGAAAAAAAGGTACATTGGATGCTGTCAGTGATGATAGATGTGAGTGTAATGTTATCAAGGCTACCRCCCCCATGGCTGTTCCCCAAACTGGGTGTGTGTTTTATGATAGATATTAATGGGTTTTATTGCAGTTTGCATAAGGAAGTGGGAAAGAAATTAGATTAATCTTGTTTGATGAAAGGCTATGTTAAATCCCTAAACCAGTGAAATTGTGTGTAGTGAATGAGGTGATACAGCAAATCTAAACCTGCTAATATTGCCTTTTATGTGTCTTGGACTTTGGAGATGATCCAAATGATGCTTTCTGAATAACCCAGCTGGTGTAACCAGGTGACATTGAGAAAGGCAGTGTTTGTTTTGCTCATGTGTGTGTGTGTATAGTAGCTTCTTGAAAAACAATCAGATTTATGGGTTTAATGCATTTGCATATTCTGCTTCTGGGAGAAAAAGTACAAAGATTTCCAAATCCATTGTATACTCCTAGAGCTTTGCAAGGCACTCAGTGTAAAAAAACTCAACATTAATGGGCTTTTACATGAGGGAAAAGGACTTGATGGCAGGAAAGAATAATCAGAGTGTTAGAGAATRTGTGCTGCCTTTGCCTACAGAATTGTGGGTTAGCATTTAACTGTATCATAAAGATCTTGCGTTAAACTAAAAATGCATGTTCTAGGATGAAGAAATGTTGGCATTTCCAGAGAATTATGGAGCTGTGTGCTGGAGATGTGACACACGAATATAACCTCTTCTTTTCTAACCTTTTACCTCTCCCAGGCAGCTCCACAGCATGTACAAAACAGTGATTCATTGTCAAGGTCTTTATTCCAGCCAGTGTTTTGTTGGCAGTGCTAGAGCAGAGCAGCAGCCTTTGGGTTTTTTGTATTTCTGGTCTGGTCTCACACTCCTGAGCATCTTGCATTAATACAGAAGGAAGCACACTTGTGGAGCAGGATACTCTTGAAGTCTGCTCTTCATAAGCAWTGCCTGGTCTAATGTGCTGAGACTATTTAAGGCTAATAAGGCACAGTTCTCATGTTGGTTTCTCATTTATATTACAAGCTGTCAGAGGTTGAGAGAGTGAAGTAAGAAGAGTGCAATCAGCAGTAATAAGGTGACATTATCAGCAGGAACACCTGAARTAGAGCTAAAATGACAGAGGAAAGGGAAAGAAAATACATGGGTGGAAAAGCTGTTTTCGTTCTGGATAATGTTCTTAGGTAGTAATGTGAMTAGGCACATGCTTGTGCCACTGCCAACTCTGTATTTCTTTAACTTATTTTTCTAATTAACACTTCTACCTTTCCTAAAAGAGGTATCTAGAGGTGTACTCAGGTGGTAGCATGTTGTGAAGTTCTTTGGAAGTTCCCTGTTAATGTGGAGTGTARATCATTGCCGTACTTTCAAAGATATGTATTGGTATTCTTCTATAGAAATTCATTTTCAAGTGCCACGCGGTGACAGCAATGTTGGCTTAAATCACGTTTTTATCATTCTGATATTTAGTCTGTTTTAAATACTGGTGGTGTGCTTCAACAAAGCCTGGTGATTTCTCCGGACTCATCTAATTGACCTGTCCAAGCCTCAACCAGCTCATTTTATTGCTGGCTTTTCTGGAACACTTAGATGCTTTGGAGTGGTACAAGTTATATTTTCTAATGCTTGTTGTGATTCTTAACTCCTCTGTTGAAGAACAAATGAAGCAGGAATTTCCCAGGTTTTCTATTACTAATTTAATGCATTTAATAMTTTTCAGCTAATAATTTACAAATTTCCCTCAATGCGAGTGCTCTGAATTTTGACTGGAATATTTGGTTGGTTTTTGCAGCCAGATTCYCCTGAATATAAAGCTGCCTGCAAACTATGGGAGCTGTATTTGCGCACAAAAAATGAATTTGTTCAGAAAGGTGATGCTGAGGAGGACGATGATGATGAGGAAGGACATGACAATCAAGCAAATTCTGAATTAGTAAGTGTGGGTATGACAGCTGCAGAAGGGGGAGGCTGTAACTGTGGATGTCAGCTGACTCTGAAAGGGTGAAAAAGCATTGAGTAATATTTTCATTGTTAAATTATGCCCAAAGGGAGTTTTTCATGCGAGTTTATCAGTTAATCACTTCTCAGCATTGAATGTGTGTTTATACTTTTGCCTCGCTAAAAAGTAGCTGTGAGGGTTTCTGATATGAAACCAAAGCATGGTTCTGGTTTGGTTGGAATTATATAAAATGTGCTTGAATTCATCTCAACATTGGCATTTATTGCAAATAAGATTTGTGTCTAATGACATCATTTTTCAGCAAATGTCCATTCAGTCAGTGCAGTTGTTCCTGTAGTGTTCTGAGAGGAAGTTTGGGCTTGCCTGGGTTTTGGAATGTTGGGATGCACATCTTCTGTAGCTGTGATGTGTGTCAGACAGTCTGCAGTGTAAACTTGAAATTAGAGTTTTCTCTGTACCTTTACCTACATAAACAATGTTGTCTTCAGAAGYTGCATCCATGTTTTGTAGCTGATTCTTTTTCTGTCTTTGAAATGTAAATTATTGTATTTCAGTGCAACTTGAAGCACTCCACTATGGCTGCTATTAAAACCTTATGTGGGTTTTTTTTTTTTTTCCTACATTAGTCATCTCCAGGTTACCTGAAGGAAATTCTGGAGCAGCTTCTTGAAGCTATAGCTGTTGCCACAAACCCATCAGGACGCCTCATAAGTGAACTGTTTCAGAAACTTCCTTCTAAAGTGGTCAGTATTTTAATAATATTTGTTGTGTCCTGATTTGGAAGCCTGGCCATTTCTGTAAYTGATGTTGCACGCTGTGATGGCCATGCTCAGGATGCAGTTCCCTGTTTCTGTCTCATCAGTGGCAAACTCCACCTGTTGGTAGAGCTTCCCTCCCTTCTTTGTTCCCATCCACTCATTCCCAGCCCTTCACTGCAGATCAGGGCTTGCCCCGTTTGGCCAGTTTAGGCAAGTGTGGGTTTTTTATGATGCAGAATTTTTAATCTTAAATATGTCTGATTTTACTGCTCTGTTTCAGAACAGTGGTGTTCTGTTTATGTGGTGAAAGTTTTAACCATCACCATGGATTTGAATTTCAATCAGAACTGGTCCTTTATGTCAGTTTATTGATGAATTGTAATTYCCTGTATCTGCCTTGTGATGTGGCTTGTCCAAATTGAAGCCTAATGCCACATTTTGAAGCCTAATGTCACATTTTGCCACTGATCTTAYGTGCAATTCATCTAGTGGCTCATTCTGTGGGCTGTTAGAACAAAAGCTTTGTGACTGTTTGTTTATAGTAATACATAAACTATTTCTGTTTTCCAGCAATATCCAGATTATTATGCAATAATAAAGGAGCCCATAGATCTTAAAACTATTGCCCAAAGGATACAGGTATGAACATATTAATGTGTCAGGGTACAGACTTGTTTAACAGTAAGCATTTCAGAATTGTTAGAAATCAGTATTTATGGTGGTAGGAAAGGCAATGTGTTTTCCTGCTATTAAAAAATCTGCACATTGTGCTGATTCAATTTTCTGTGCTGGGTTAGTGCTGCAGAAGTAGCTGTGTTGATGTTCAAGCACTGTAAGCTGTGGAGTGCTGGCTTTGAGCCAGAATATCTCAGGTTCCTTGATGTTTAATGGTTTAAAGCACTTCCTTGGCAATTGCTGCTCATGTAAAACATGGTGGTACTGGGGCTTGTCATGCATTATCATCACCTACTTCTGTTTTACTACTATAAATAGGTGTTTTGTACTGATGCATTTTTCATCTTACTTCTCCAGTAATTTGAAATATTGTTCTGTAATTCTGGCATTTTGGATAGTAGTGAGGGATAGGACATAGACTAATTGAACTAGAGAATAAAGTTAAAAYAGCATTTTGTCAGAACTCTTCAAAATTAAGGTAATATAATCAATTAAGTATTTTTTTCAGTCTTAGCATTAATAAGCTTTATAAAGACTTAGCATATATGTATGTTACTGTCTTTTTTATTACTTTTTCCATATACTTAYCTGTTGTCTTTATAAATAACTTGTTTTTCTATAAACATTTCCTTTATTGTATATGAATTTCTTTGCTTTTCACTACTGACTTAGTTCTCATGCTGTCTGAAGGTTGCCACTTTACCCAGTTCTGCTTTTTGTTGTATAGAATGGAACTTATAAAAGCATTCATGCCATGGCCAAGGACATAGATCTTCTGGCAAAGAATGCCAAAACCTACAATGAGCCTGGATCCCAAGTATTCAAGGTTAGTTTCAGTGTTCATAGTGTGATTTAAGTTCAGATTTTCTTGTTTACTTTCTCTGATGATCGATCCTTACATAAATGTTGAGTATAAAGCTCTCGAGATCCAGTTTGCATTTTTTAAAAATAGCTATTACTGGGTTTTTCCTCTTTTATAGTGCTTTTAGTAGAATTGGGATACAAAATGACAAAAAATGAGCTTGAAGCTACTCAGGTCTTCTATTCAGTTTTTTCAAGCCACTGTAAAAATRTGGTGTGGGTGTATTTCAGGCAGACTTTGTTCTATGCTTCATTTCTCATGCAAAATTGTTTTATATCTAAACGTAAAACAACTTCATTTTTGTTTTAGATAGCTGGATATGTCTGATTACAAAATTATTCACTTTCAACATTAAACAAAAAAAAATCTTTTAATTGGCAGGATGCAAATGCGATTAAAAAGATATTTAATATGAAAAAGGCTGAGATTGAACACAGTGAGTTGGCCAAGTCAAGTCTCCGAATCAGGTACTGCAAATGGAGTTCTTTCTATAATTTCATATAAAAATGTTGACATTCCCTTAATTGTGCTGGGGAGAGTACAGTGGGAAATAATTGCTTGAGAATTTAGTTTTGTTTTAGAAGTTTTACATTGGTTAAAATAGTTTTTGGAAGAAAGCTTTTTTATTGAAATACTTCTGTGATGTAATTCGTTATGAAAAATAGTATCAGTGGATCTTAAATAACTTAAGCCATGACCAACTTCCACCATGTKTTTTTAAGTTAATAACAGAAAAGGAATGGTGACAAGCAAGGTGCCTTGTTTCATGAAAAATGCTGGCTATTCTTGCTCCTAATCTTGTTAGGAGATGAAACCAAAGGGCTCACGTTAGGTAGGGACAGAAACATAGGAACAGAACCTTGGGCAAAAGATATTTAGAGGGAAGTCCATTCTTGTTTGAAAAGCAATTTGTAGGTATGARAAGAGGGACACTGAAGATCTGGGTTTATTAATCAGTGAAGTGCAGATCTGTCCCTGAATATGCATGTATAAAACACTGGATGAGAGCTGATAGCTCTGTTTGTTTCATGGAATGATTTTACTKAGGAAACAGCATTTTCTTCCTGTGAGAAGCCATAGTGTACAGAGAAGTGATGCAGTCACTATAAATGTTTGTTAACTGAAATGCAATTGCATGTCTTCTCATATAAACTTTTTACTCACAAGACATGCTCGTGGGTTTAGGTATTACTTGCTGATAGGAGCWGTGTCATTTATCTAAAAAAATAAARCWGTGTCCTGGAAGTCATTCAGGGAGTTGGGAAACGCTTACAAGGTGAAATCTCTTTATATGTTTGAGGTGTTTACTGGTATTGGTGCTCGGAAAGCACTGTTGTAATTTCCTGCAAAGGTTTGTATGGTACAGCTAGAAACTGTACTCTGTCACTCCCATTCTTAACTGAAAGGTAGTTTAATTTTTTTTGTGTAKATGATGTCAGTATTAATAGTGTTGCCTGGGATTATTGTGTGAAAGAAATGGAAGTTGCCTGATTGATTTTTACTACTTGGTGTTTTGAGATGTGGTTTTTCTGGTTGATTTGTTCAGCATCAGCATCCTTCCCATGGTCGGGTGAATCATCGTTGGAGCATATAAAAATAAAAAGCAGAAACACTCTTAAGAAGTAATTCCTGACACATACTTGAATCATATTCCTTCTTAGAAATGTGTGTAGTGCCAGAAGACTTTGATCCTACAGACASTGGACATACATATAAGTTTGTTTCACAGTAACTGGAATTACATATAGGCATAGAGATTTTCTATTTAAATTGTTACTTGATTTTATTTTTCTCACCGTTGGCCATTGATGAAACTCAGGATGTCAGGRTGTGTGTCATATTTAATTTTGAGGCTCAGTGTTTTTTCTTGAAAATGAAGCTGATTGTGTAAGAAGGCATGACAGATAAATGACACTGATATTTGTTAGCTGAATTCCTCTCTTGCACTGCCAACCCATTTCCACTTCACCACTACCTTATTCTAGATACTCTCTTATGTATTGTGTTCTCAACAGACCTTCAAATCCTGAAGTAATCTGTCAGAGTAATTGACAGCTCCCTTCTTTGTTTCTCTGGCATGGGGAAAAAAAAATAACGCCTGAAGCATGCTACAATAATATTGAGCTGAGTGCAGAAAAATTGGGATGAGAAAAAARGTGTCATGAAAACCAAACCTTTCACTTGCTGTTCTGTATTTCACTGGTTGCCCTTTTTATTGAATCATTATTCCTTTTTTTTGTTCCTTTCTCAAGATTCTGCTTCACAGAATCATTTTTATTTAAATCCCTAAATGTTTAATTCTCTTAAAGGAGATTTCTCTGTTACCTATTGCTGATTTGGGTAAAATTCTCTCATAAATTCACTTCAAGTTAATCTTCTGTGTTTTTCTTCTGTACATCTATTGTTCTTTGTCATTGATGGCTCAAACTCAAATCATCATAATGCTGCTAACCTAAGCTTTATATGTTGCCCCTGTGTCAAAAATAATGTTTTGTATTGCACAGCTCATGGTCTCCTTTGCCATACTAAACTGCTCTTTGTGGGTGCATTTAATCATCCTCCCTTGAAGTGGCAAAATTAAATTGCTTGATAATATGCACTGTTAACCAACGTGACAGTGACTTTTAAGTGTTGATAAAACATGACTGCACCTGTATGATTTGCTTTATTTGGATGCTAAGGTACATTTTGTTGGCTGCTTTCACTGCTATTTAGGCTGAGCTATGTGTACAGCTATCAATTACTAAAAGTTACTTTCCTCTGACTTTAAAAACAAAATCTACAAAAATGCTGGAGCACTGAAAGGATCTCAGTATTGCTTATCTTTTAGCTTCCAAACATATCTGTCTCTGAACCTTTTGGCTGATCTATCAAAGTGATTCTGTAAAAAGCTTTTTTTCTTGCTGCATCTTTTCATGGGTCTAAGGTGGGCCTGTTTTTTTTCCTCCCCCTTTCCTTGGCTTGCTTCTCCTGCCTTAAGGACTGCATCAAATTTGGCTGCTTCCAAGCTGACAGGTCCTTCCTCACAGGGTAAAGGCAGTGTTGGGGATGAGAGAAATTCTTCTAACAAATATTATCGGTAAGTAAATTGTGCACTTGGAGGAAAAGCTGGGTTGTCATCATATGGAAATGCTACATTTTGTTTGATTTTCTTCCTCATACCTGCTGTGGTGCTGTGCTTTGGATTAGGATGAGAATAATGCTGAAAACACACTGATACTGTAGTTATTGCTGAGTGAGAAACATGTGCAGGCCATCATTCTGCCTGATGGATGGTGGCAGTACTCGATGGGAGTGGCTGCAGCAGTTGAAAGTGGCAGCACAGGGATAAACCCCCCTGGGCTGCTCAGCTCTGGCAGGGTGCTGTGCTCAGGTACAGAACCTGCCTGTGAAAGGGCATCATGTAGGTGCACRTGGACCCAAAAGCTGGGTCACTGGAACCATCAGAGCAGCCAGGGGGTGGATCAGGATGCTGAGGCTGGAGTGGCTCAGCTGGATCTTCACTGGCAGTGTAAAGGTGAATTACAGCTCCAGGGGCCCATGGTACCTCAGGCCATTGGGGGCTTGCACACCCTGTCAATGGTAAAAATAATAAAAATAAAAATAAAAATCACCCAGGTAAATGAAGAAGGGTTTTTGGTGAAATGAGACAAAGCACAGCAAGGACAGAACCAAAAGTGGCTTCATCAGGCAAAGCCCAGCTCCACACACCATCTCTGCTGCCCTGGAGGGCTGCAGGGACAGATGGAGCCCAGAGTCATGGGCTGAAGGAACTCAGTAAATGTTTTAGAGGGATGGCCCACAGTCTAAGGGAATGATACCTGTGTGTTTAGATCAAAAGACAGGAAAGGATGTATTGGAAGGTGTAGGGCCCAGGCATGATACTAGAGCCATCTGCTTTTTCCCTGTCTTCACTTGGCTCCTGTAGGACAAGGCTGASCCTGTATCTGGAGGTGCTTGAAGAGCTGATCTTGTAAAAAGGCAGAGAATGTCAGGCATAGCYTATAGTATAGATATGAAATCATGGGCCCCAGGTTTGGCACAAAGGAGAGGGATGCTGAAAAAGTCTGGATGAGACCATAGCCAGGGTGGATGCCAGTTGACTCTGCCTAGGAAGATTAGGAGGCTACTTCATGTGCAGGCACTGGGTGCTGAAAATACCTGAGGGTGGGGATGGAAAAAATGGGAAGAGATAGAATATACAGCTTATAGTGTGCTGAATTCCTTCCTGTAGACAAATCAGTATAAAACAGGATCGAATAAGAAAGTTATTAATAGGGAGAGACTTCTTACATTTCTCTTCTCCTGCAATTAATCAAATACTCAAGTATACAAAATAGGACACAAGATAGTAAGCTGGAGCTCAGCCTTCTGATTGTGTTGGATGGACCATCTCATAAAATAGAGACAGACTCACAGCTTGGTAAGAATTTCTCTTGTTAAAGGCTCCAGCCTTCTGTAGCCATGGCTGTGTTCCTGGCCATGGGGTCATGACCTTCACTTGTTTGGTTACACACTCTGGGTGACTGTTAATGGTTAATATGATAACCCTTTTTTTTTTGGTTTTTATTTTCTTTTTTTTTTTTTTGGTTTTTACACTCTGGGTGACTGTTAATGGTTAATATGATAACCCTTTTTTTTTTGGTTTATTGTTTTCCATTTTTCTTATTTCTCTCTTTACTTTTTATTTGCTATAGTAACAAAAGATCAGCCCAAGGGGATCGTTTATCAGCAATAACCATGGCATTGCAATATGGATCAGAAAGCGATGAAGATGCAGCTTTGGCTGGTAGGGAATTGAATTTCTCTAATTGCTTTCATTAAAATGTTCACGATAAGCAAACCTGTAGAGCTCCTGTCACATTCAAATATATTTGTTTCAAAAATATTTTGTACTGAGTGTGTTATTCCTTTAAATYTTACAGCTGTTAAGATAGGGTGGGCCAAACTTGCTGGCATGTTTGAATTTTCTGTGTGTTTCCAAGTATACTTCCCCAAGCTTTAGGGAACCGTTGCATTGTTTTATTCCTCCTAACATGGARCAGAAGAGGATATACTGGAGAAAACATTGGATGCTCTGTGCAGTAAAAAAGATTGATACTGCTAGAATTGTTTCTTTGTTTAAATTTTTTTTACATTATTCCTGCATTGATGTTAAATGATGYATCTGTTCAATATACATTTTTGAGGCATTTATTTCATACCTGGTAACTGAACTGTGGTCCTCACAGTTTTCTAGTGGAGATGTAGAATTTTTTTGATTTTTAGCTCTAGCTGCGAGCAAAAGCATTTTGATTCCTGGTTAGCTTCAGAGCAGCTGCTTTCTGGGAGATGTGAGGAATATTTATTAGCTGGGTTTAGCTTGTTTGTTAGCTGTTATTTTTTTCAAATTGCAGTGCTGTTTAAACGTGTAGCATTTTACATTTTTGTGATTTAAATTCCTTCAGTGATTTAATCACTTTCAGGTGCCATCTTTCCTATGGAGCTTTTTGTGATTTTCATGGGACCTCTCTGTGTGTGTGTGACTTTTGCCTTGCTGCTGTTGAAGCTCTCCTATCTTTATTGCATTCACCTAAGAGGCAATGTTGATTTTTTTGGCAGACCTGTTAGCCCCTAAGATTTTCTGTCCTTTTGCTGTRCTGCTTGGACAACCCTATGCTTTTCAGTCTCTAGGTGACAAGGATTTTTCTTTTAACCAAGTGATATTTCTATTAGTAGTTCTGCTGTCTCATTTTTTTTCCCCTTCCTCTAATGCTTGTTAAAATAAGTGAGAGCAGGGCTGCATGACTGAACATTAATAGAACTCTCTCATTCTTGAAKCAGAGAACTGAATCTTTATGAGCTTCTTTGGTTGTAGCTGTTGCCTAAGCAATGAATAATATCAGTTTCCAACTGAGAGTTGATCCTGACAGCTGCAGATGGTGTTTTGGTGTGATGGAGCTTGTAGAACATTTCCAGCTCCAGTGTACAAGGATGTGAGCAGCTTCAGCAGCTCCCTTGCCCCTCATAAGTCTCTAAAGGCAGACATAGGTGGTCATTATGTAGTACATGCATRTATTTAATTTTGTAAACAAGGGTATTTTGGTTTTTACTGTATCATTTAGAGAYTGGATTTGCTTTTGGTTGTACTAGCAATTATATTCAGTTGGACGTTGGGCATTCATTGTTGTTTGGCTCCTTTGGGACATAAAGGAGGCAGTGGGGTTTTTGGTGGTATCTGCAAACTGTAGTAGTGGGAACAGCAGCATGAAAGGGCAATAACTGCCTGTCCCTCTCCTCTGCCAGTGCTTGCTGGGGACATGGGACCTGCTGCTACTGTACATCAAAGAATGTACAGTCTTGCATCAGATTGTTGGTTCCATAGCAAAAATAAGACTTTTGCTCTGTTCTAGTCTAAATAATATATTCTTCTTTCGCTCTTAACATAGCAGGCTTCATATTAGGAGATTGCTATCATTTTCTGAACATGTAAGAATATATTATGTCTACGCATCACTTTTAAAGAACATACACATCATAATGAAAATGTTTATGGCTGCATATTATGTCAATATAAAAATACAGTAAAACTATAATACATAAATGCTTTCACTTAAGTACATTTTAAAATTACTAATTAAAATCTAATTTATTTAGATTTCTTCTTAGGGAATGCCTTGTGTTCTGCTTTTAATACAAAGAAAGTACATTTCTTATTTACAGTATTGAACTTTTTTGTTGCTGTCTCGCACATATGAGAGAACAGCAAATACTTGAYTAATTCTTTAATTTTTTTCTTTCATGAAAACAAGTTATTCTACTTTTTGTATTTGTTTCTCACTTTTTGATGGAGCACTTAAAACTGAACAATTTGAGTAGACAAACCAAACTGCTTGACTAAGCTAAACCATAATCTGTTTTTGAAACTTTACCTGATTGCAGTGATGGCTYCAGTTGTTTGTTTCTACTGGAGTTACTCTGCCCAGCTCCTGCTTTGCTGRCTGTGGTGTAGTAGATGCTGGGCTATTAAATGATGCTGATTGGTATCATTAGGATAATTTTGAGTGTTTCCCCAAATCAGTAATGAACAGTTCCTTTGTAAGTTTGCACATTTGCTGATGTGTGCTTGTGTCTTAGCTTTGCCTCTGACCCTGGYAGGTCCCACAAATCACACACTGATGTAGATCTGGTGTCAGATGCAGAGGAGCAATGACAGTGCTGTGTTGTTACAGTCTGAGTGTCCCCTGGCTTTGTCACCATTTCTATATGTCTTTAMTGAACATGGATAGAGAGCTTGAAACTGTGCCAGCCTCCTCTGAGCAATAATGGAAATGCCAGCTGGAAACTTGGTGTTGGAGAACTGTGTTTTGTGCAGCTGAATTACCCAGTGTGTCATCTGCCAGGCTTTCCTTCAGACTCACAGAGGGGAAAAGGGGTGAATAATTTAACTCTAGCATGTGCAAAGCCATGTAGATTTTCTGTTACATCTGTCTGCAAGGTACAAATTGCACTGTGTTGCTGAGAGTGTGGAAGGATTTGGCCATTTATTATTTCCCATCCTGTATTTCTCCTACCAAYGTTTTCTCATTCCTGTTGTGTTTCGTTGTTCATGCAATGTTTCTCCTAATTTTATCTGCAGTAAGTGATAGCTCTTCATAGCATTTCTTTCATTCACTCTRATCCTAAAACAATAAAAGCTTGTGATAAAATTTGTAAATACTTCACTATGTATTTTTAGGCTAATTACATTATCACTGAAATACATTTATTTCTTGTTCATTTGCTGCATATATTAGAGGTGCATTACCAGGATTTAGTGTCAGGTTTTTTCTGCTTTTAAGCTTCACAATTTTGTGCTGAGCTGTGATTAATATGGTCTAAAGAATTGCAATACCTAGATAAAGTGCCCTTTTTTTTTTGTCAGCTTGAGGCTCATTAGATATGTGTTGTGTCTTTTTCTGGGGTGTAAATCTGACTGTAAATCTGCCAGAAAGATGCTTCCTTTTCTTCTGCTTTAGATCTTTATCCACCAAAAACCCACTCTGAGCTGTCCTGCTGACCTCAGCTGAACCTGTTTTTCCTTTCTCTGTGCAGCTGCTGCTCGTTATGAAGAGGGGGAATCTGAGGCTGAGAGCATTACTTCCTTCATGGACACTTCTAATCCTCTTTACCAGCTTTATGACACAGTCAGAAGTTGCCGAAATAACCAGGGCCAGCTCATCTCTGAACCCTTTTTCCACTTGCCCTCCAAGAAAAAGTATCCTGATTATTATCAGCAGATTAAAACACCCATTTCATTGCAGCAGATCAGGTAAGAAAACAAAATGCAAACCATGTCTGGTGTGAAACTATTGAAGGGTTTCTTTCACTCCCAGAATCTTCTCTTGTGGTCAAGTTGTTAGTGCCTGATGCAATGTAGGCACCATCTCTCCTCCACATCTGATTGCAGCTTGTTTCAGCTCAGTCTGCATCAGTCTTTTGATCATCTTTTATACATGGCTGCTGTTGGGTTAATTTATCATTGAGTTTCATTTGTAAGTGCCTGAAAATTGCCATGTCAATAATTCTGAAGGCCAGGTGTGCAGCAGAGATGAAAGTTTTGGCAGAATTCACAATTTTTTTCTTGACCATGATGGTTTGATTACCTCTTACTGCCATTTTTTTTTAAGTTATTAGTCTTCAATGTGTATTGTAGGAAGACGGTTGCAATTACATTTCTCCTGTGTAGGTTACAATGTAACTGTGGAGAATAATTATTTTCATGATGATGTAGTTTGTCTAGACTGAAGCCAGCAGTTTACCATTTGTAAATCTGTGAGCCATGAAAGGTCCTTGAGCTGCCAGAAAGTGGCTGTCAGATTAAAGACCTGAGTGAAGTGAGCAATGTCTTTCTTTAGTGGCTCAAGATAAGGCAGTATGATGGGTATCATTAGGGTCCTGAGAGCATTAATAGGTTTTAATGGTGCTGCCCAGCCTTGGGGGTCCAGGCTTCCTGCCCAGTGCCACTCCCCAGGAGTGCCAGTCCTTCAGCTTCAGTGAGGGAGCACTGGAGCCTCCCACTGCTCATCCCTTTGTAATCCACTCTGATGCACAGGTCTGTATGTTTTATTTATACCACAATACGATCTGCCAGACTCAGTGTAATTGTTGAATAAGCAGTGTCTTTGTTAAATCAGAAACTAACAAAGCTGCTTTTTGGTTTTTTGTCTTGTCAGAAGGTGGTGTGCATATGATGGAGAACAAAAGCTGCCATTCTGGTTATCTATCCATCAGTGGCTTTAAAGTATTTTTTCTTAAGTCTTAGTACAGCTACAAGAGTGGCAAAAAAAGTGTCTTACATTCAAAAAAGCACAAAATGTACTTGATGAAAAACCTGTGAAATTGAGAAGACTCATTGACAGTTGTGAGGAAGCTTTGTGCCTGAATGTACCTAAAAGTATTGGCACAAATTATGTATAAACAGATTTGTTTGGGAGAAACTTTCCACTAAAATATCCTTGATATCAGTTACGGAACAAATATTTTACCATAGAGAGGCAGCTGCATTTCTGCTTTCTTTACAGCATAGGCAAGTTGCAWCTGGCTGTGTGAGCAGCACAGAAATTCCACACAAGTATATGAAGCACTGTAGAAAAAAGTAGCTTCACTTACTGCCTGCAAGCTTAGAAAATAAAAAAGGAACAGCCAGGCTATTTAGAAATAATGATTGAGGCTCACAGTTTAGATAGAATGTTGATAGTAGTCTTAACTTTGTGCAAATTCTGAAATTCATCTGTTTTTTCAATTACCATGCAATCTTCACTTCTTACTATACCTGCAAAGCCTTGAAGTCATGTATGTTTACATTTAATTGCTGTTTTTCTGGGAAATTGAAGCATCATGGCTTTACTGATAGTGCAAATATGTCTTTAGATATTAAAAAGTGCCACTTGTTAGAGATGGAGGTTGTTTGCACGGTATTGGGTGTTTGGTTTTCTGTGGGATTTTTTTCCTTTTTTTTTGTAGTGGTGTTTTTTGGTGTTTGGTGGTTTGGCTTTTTTTTTCTTTTTTTTTTTTTTTTATATGTTCATAAATAGAGCCTATCTTCTGCTCCCAGATGGGGATAGGAAAGTTAAGTGTCCTAGAGAAAAGCTGAAGGAGATGGAGTGAAGCCTGCCATTCCTGTTTCATTTCTCCTTGGCACTGGCATCTGGCTGCCTCAGCTGTCCTGCTAGAGTGAACTGTGAAATGTGTGGCTGTTGCAAATTTTACAGCTCATCATGTATTTCAGGGGGTTTGTGTGCACTGAATGCAGGAAAAGTCTTTAAAATAATGTGTGATCTCCAGAGGGAGTGTGTGAGTGTGTTTTGGTTTAATGAGATGTACATTTTACCTATCCCAGCATCTCAGTCACTTTGAGTGTTATGAAGCTCAGTGATTTGAGCTGAGTGTTGATCCTGAGCTGTTCCTGGATGTGGGAGGTAATCATGCTGATGGCTTTAAGTTTTCTCCTGATTTCCTCCTGACTTGCTGTTCACAGAATCCCAGAGCAGCTGAGGCTGGAAGGGAAATCATCCAGCCCAAGCCCTGGCTATGGCAGGGTCACCCAGAGCCCAGTGTCCAGGTCTGTGTCCAGTCAGGTTTKGATTATCCCCACAGATGGAGACTCCACATCCTCCCAGGACAACCACTGCCARTGTTTGACCACCCTCACAGTAAAAAGCATTTGTGTTCAGCTGAAGTTTCATGTGCTTCCATTTGTTTCCCTCATCTCTTGCCCAGTCAGTGGACMCAGCTGAGATGAGCCTGGCTGCCCCTTCATTCCCTCCCACCAGATGTTCAACACACTGGTGAGAATTCCCTGCCTCAAACAGGACAAAAGTCAGAGCAGAGAACAAGCAAATCCTATTTAGAAAGAAAGGTGTGATGCTGTCAAGGCTATGACTTTCACATGTGGTTAAAGTGCCCAGTGTGGAAGTTACTGTGCAAGCCTAACGTTGCTGGGGAAAAGTCATTCTGTAATTACAAATAATCACAGGAACAGTCAGGAAATGATGCWGGACAATGTGTTCAGTTCCCAAGTGCATAAGTGCTAGATCCTGGCAGACTTACAAGAACACTGTTCCTTAATAAATTTTACAGTGCTAACAAGTATGATCCCCAAGGCCAGTGGGTCTGGCTTTTTTGTACCAGTGGAGGAAGGCATGCCAGGGAATTCCCTGGCAGCAGCTCTCTCYTAAACATGTGTGAGAGCAGAGTGGGAGTACAGGCACTGAAATTGGTATCTTCACTGGCACACCCCAGTGTCTTGTGCTCCTGGGGTTATAGCTGAGGTTTAAAAATGTGTGGGGATCTGGTATAAAACACACTTAGCTACTTTTGAATAATTGACATGCAATTTTCTTATGAATGTGACCCTTTTTGGACAATGGTTGGTGACACAGGAATCTAAATGTTGCTTTTATGTGATGTCTTGAGGTTCTCTTGAATTTTGTGGTGAYTCTTGTTGGTTTTGGATTAGTTAATGATTTGAGTGGAACTTACRGGAAATGTCATCACCTGGCCAAGCMTATTTTGCCATAAAACTTAATAGTTTTAGCAATATGGCAATTAAAAGAGTGGAACTTAYGTTGAAGTAATGGAGACTGGTGCCTGGGCTAAAGTCTGAAAGGTTTATGGAGAACTTCTGTGTTCCTGTTTGCTTGATTTAGGAGTGAGCCAATTGGGAAGGTATTCTCTACAGAGAAAATTTTGTCTCTAGTAYTTAGAATACAACGTAAATTTTCATTTTATCAGAGATTTAGAAGTACCTTCATTCCTTTCATCACTTAATATAGCGTATTACTTGGTGAATATTGTATATTTTTAAAATACTCTGTTTGTATAACCAGTTGTATAACCTTCTGTTTGTATAACCAGTTTTGCATACCAAACTTAGAGACTACTTTCAGTGCATATTGTAAATAAGGCCTTTATAAAATCACAGGTTCAAATAAACAAGGTTCCCAATGTATTTTACAAGAAGAGTCTCATCCTGAATAGAACATTTGATCCCACTCACTCTTTGTTAGTGGGTTGTGTTTTTTCTGAAGAGGCAGGACTGGCACTTCACAATTTCTGAATAAAAGGAAATAAGTTGAATCTCCTGGTGTTTGAATTTTTTGAGTGGGAATTTTTTAGGCTAAGAATGTGTCTAATAAATGTATCTTTTGATTATATGGAGAGAGTATCTCTCTCATTATCAGTCGTCTCACATATTCTACCTAGAAGGACTGATGAGTTTCCAGTACACATTTTGGGAAGTTGAGTTCCAACTTACAGTATTCTTTTAATTAATATTCTSATTTAATTTGACCAAATTAAATGTCGTGCCAGTGTTGGTTTGGCCTTAGTGGCCTTATGAAACTGTAGCCTTAGTTTGAAACTTTTTCCTCATTTTGCAAAGGTCATTATGTTTAACGGGGTATTATTTCCAATTTTACCAGTGCTTTCAGATACAGTTAATATCACTGWCAGTTATTTTCACAGGAATTTCTCCTCATTTCTAGTATATAATTTGTGTTAYGTTGGCAGTGACTTTCTGTAGAGCCATGGGCTTGGTTAGTTTTTGCCTCCCTTTGTGAAATAAACTGATGTTTATGAACTGAGATTGGTGAGATGACTTGGTAAAAACTTATTGTGAAGCTACGCTTCATCTCTAAATCCTGAGATGTCATGATACTCTGCTGAGTTTGAGTGTAATTAAATCTGTTCAAATTACTTATGTGAATAACCTGCCTGAATAATCATCCTATTGTTTGCTGACAGAGAAGAGAATGGTAGGAGAGGAGGTTCTTCGCAGGTTAGAACAGGACAACTTTTGTGCCTGTACATTTGTCATTCCTTACATCCCTGATTGGAAGCTGACACTTTCCCAAMCATTTGGTCTAAGTGGATTTTTACTTTTGCTGCCAGGCCTTTGATGAGCACAGCTGGGAATGTAAATTGTTTGCTTAAAATCAGATGGCCTTCACCTTGTTGGATTGTGAATAAACAAATGGTGGTAGGAGCAAGCTTGGGACTAAAAGGTTTTCTTCTAGATTTATTTGGTGGTGGTGATAATGCTCCATCAAGCAGGGAAGCAGACTGGGTTAAAGGATGGTGTGTGACTGGTGAATGTGCCAGACAGGAGGGTGAGGATGGAGCTGTGAAAGGGGATGGTTGTGGTTTGCAGCTCTGATAGGSTTTGGGGTTTGTGTTGTTGCAGATTAATACTTTCTGCTGTGTGTGATGAAGTACTGGAAGGTTTAAAAAGTTGACTAGAACTTTCAGCAAGAAAACACATTAAGTTAAGCATTAACACATGTTAATTCATGTGTTTAGCATATGAAATTTTTTTTTTCCTGTTGTTATGCCTCTTGTAATTGTTTTCAGATGAATTGTGCTTTGCATGTTGCACCAGTCAGCAACCAGGTGTTTTTTAAAGWGAAGCACAAATTGGAGGGTTCAAGTGGGAGGTGCTGGGCACTTTTGGCTCTCACTGAAGATGAGTGGAATTGATGGAGGGGAGGCAGTGTTTGTGGCTGTGCAGAGCTRGCCTGGCACCCTGAGTTCAGGGCTCAGGGCACTGCAGCATTCTCAGCAGCCTGAGCTTGTGCCTCACCTGAGTATGGAAACAACACTTCAGTCTCCACAACTTTCAGAGTTACTGAAACCATKTTTAGGAGGAGATGTTTCTTTAATAAGTCTCAATTAGAGCATGTTACTAGAGAATCAAAAAATCAATCACATTTCTGTAGCTGGAGGTCTGTGAGTATTGATTTATCATGAAAATGAAGATAATAACTGTTTTCCACTGTGTAACTTGTGAAATACCTGACTGGTATTTCTTTTTTTGCAGAACCAAGCTGAAGAACCATGAATAYGAAACTTTAGATCAGTTGGAGGCTGATCTGAATTTGATGTTTGAAAATGCCAAGCGCTACAATGTTCCCAATTCTGCCATCTATAAAAGGGTGCTGAAAATGCAGCAGGTTATGCAGGTATGTGGAGAAAAATAAGCAAAAGGATATAACTTCACATGTAATTTTCTTTTTCCTAATGGATATTTATACAAAATAATTTTTAACTAGACTTGTCCTTGCAGAATTATTTTCTTGCTCATGGGGAAGTGTGGGAACGAGGAGCATCATAAGGTGRTTTTTCTTCAGCAAACCTGCTGCCWTCTGTGGTTTCTTTTGGTCACTTTATTACTTACTATGACTCCTAACCCAATTAAATTGTGAGGAAATTGATGATGTAGGGTTTTTTTAGAGTTTGCATGTAATTGGGTAATGCTAAAACCCTTCTGAATTCATTAAGTGTTCCAGCTAAGTGCTGCGGTCTGAAATGTTATTGTTTTCAAATCAGTTCCTCAAAAGTTGTTCTGACATATTAAAATAATTATACTGCTGTGTAATGCTCTTCTGGAAGTGTCCAGCAGTGAGTTTGGCTTCAGGGATTTCCTCTTTTTTCAGGCAAAAAAGAAGGAGCTTGCTAGGAGAGATGACATCGAGGATGGGGACAGTATGATTTCTTCTGCTACATCTGATACTGGAAGCTCAAAAAGGAAAAGGTATGTGCCTCTKTAATTCCTGCAGACCATTACATTGCTGCATCTCTTTCTGTTAAAGACAATATTAAGCCATAGCTTTTAGCATTTGTGTAAGGGTTTGTAATTCTGAAACATTAAGTTGATTCTAATTAATTCAAAACTATTTGCYGAGTTTTATTTCCCTGTTTTGGTCTATTAGTTGGCAGTTGTCAACAGCAGTTCAGTAAGTGAAATGGACACTGTAATTGAACTGAGTTAGGTAATTTTGTCAGTGGATTTCACGATTGTTTTGGGGGGATTTGTTTTGTTTTAGCCTGAGGAATAGATAAACTGATTATAAGAGGTTGATTACTTTGGGTCCTGTAAYATAAACCAAATTCCCAGTGATTTGGAAAATAGACTCTTTTGTGAGCATAATGATGGCTTATTGAAGRTATTCTTTACAGTGATAGCTGTTATGTGATTAATACTGGTGATGCATTTCAYTCCAACAAGGGGAAGTTTCTGCCTCATGGTATCATTCAAAACAAATGCCAGTTTCTGATAATAATACTGCAATAGTAGCAAGAGCCTGTGTGAAAATAACCCAGCATCTTTCTTTGGTGTTGCTTATGATCTTCAGCTTCCTGGATATTTATTTCTTGTTTGGTCAAAGTAACAGCACTTGTGGGGGGAGGAAGGGAATGGAAAAGGGCAAAAGSAAGGAGTCACTGAAGAACAGTCAAATAAATGCAACAATGGACACTCATTAAAAATCTGCAGAGAGAAAATATGAACTTGGGTTTAGGAGGTGGTACAGTCTAGGGATGCTGGGAAAAAGAAATGTAGAGGAAAGGAAGGGCAGACCGCAGAACCAGGTAGTCAAGAAGGAACAAATTGCAAAAATTGTTGGTTTTGTGATCTTCAGATTCAAAAAGAAGTAATAACCTAATCAAGTAAGTCAAATTGTCATTGGTGTCGTTTTAACCTCATGTTGCTTTTGATCACCTTATGCCAGACAATACTGAAATGCTTAAAAGAAAAAAACGTGTCAGGCCCTGTCATCTAAGAACAGTAAAAGAGGAAAGGGAACAAGGGATTTCCCTTTTTCATAGGCAAGGGAAGTCAGAATGATGCCTGAAGAGAAGCTGAAAATGCTTTTGATGTTGTCAGTTCAATATTTGTTACCCATTTCACATTCTGAATGATAGGAAGGCTCACAAGTGATCACAAGATCACTGCTGATCACAAGTGAGGCCCTGAGAAGAATTCTGAAATGTTGGAAAATGAAACTAATAACCCATGCAAAATTCATCCCRTTGGGAAAATAATTACCCAGAGGAAAGTTGTCTGAGTATCTCCTTTTTTGTATCAGGTGCATGACCCAAACTGAGTACCTGCTTTGGTTTTGCTTTGCCCACTGCTATTGAGCTGAGTGATAAAAAGCTGGAAACGTGTTCAAATGGGGAATTTGGCAGCGTGTCTGTGTTGTGGCACTGCTCACCTGCTAAYGTGAGCAACTAACCAACATCTGCCAGCCATGACAATAATGCAGAAAAATCAGGTTTTAACCTACAGAGGATATATTTTGACTTTTTTTGTTGTTAGTTTTCATTAGTTATTTTGCTAATCTCCAAGGGGCAAGAGGCATGGGGCATGAGACTGTGCTGAATTAGGTATATTTTAAATGTGTGAGGAAAGGATCTAGATAATGGAAAATCTGTGTTGCAGTTTGGTTTCTTAAAAGTTGTACAAGGGTGTTTTGCACATTCTGCAACTGAAGATTGGTTGTTGTTTATACAGGTCATACTATTGAAGTTATAACTACCTGAATAAATCTTAAGGAGATTGCAGATTGGAAGCCTGTTTAAAAGTGCTTTGTAGTGAATGTATTTCTGAGTGCTGCAGTATCTGAGCTAAGATTATACAACATTGACATAATTTTTCCTCTCCCTTATCTGATCTGCTTATAGGCCATGCAATATTTGTGCAGGGAGCCATGTACTATTTTGTGATAAGCCATGTCTTGGTTGTGCTGTCACATTTCTGGAGACAACCAAAACATGATGGTTGATTGTAAAGTTTGTGGGGATAGCCCATTTTCTACTTGGGTTTGCAGTTTTGGTGAGCTTTATTGACTTGTAACTTCATTTGGATTGACAGATATTTAAGCAGCTCTTTCTACTACATCCTTGATGTCCTTATTTTCTTTTGTCTGGTACTGAAGAATGTACAAAGTTACACTGAGATAAACAGCTTCTGTCTTTGATATCCTGTATTTAGTAGAGGTAGTYATGAAGGTACCAGCTGGGATTTTTACCCTGTTCACTTTGGATGTTGAACTCTTGGATTCAGATGCCTCATCCTGACTGATCTTTTTCTCTGCAGCTGGAAAGTRCTCAAGGCTTCTTTTGGCCTTGCACTTCTGAAAACAAGTTATTTGTTTCATTGTGTAGAACACTTAAGGTCAATGAGAGAGCAATCATCTCCAAGAGGCATTTCCTGTTTCTGCATCAGGCTGCTGGTTGCTGCTGTGACAGCATCTGTTGATGGCTGTCACAATTTGAAGATTCTAATGCACTGTTGGAATATAGAAATTTTTTGTGTGTTTAGGTGGTTCTGGTTGTTTCTTGACAGTAGTGGTTAATATCATTTTGATATTAGTGTTGGAAGTGTGGAAATTATTCTTTTCCTTTGTGTTCTTCTTAACCTGACAGTAAAAAGAACATACGAAAGCAGCGGATGAAGATCTTGTACAATGCAGTTCTAGAAGCTCGGGAGCCAGGCACGGGCAGGCGGCTCTGTGATCTGTTCATGGTTAAGCCATCCAAAAAGGACTATCCAGACTACTACAAAATTATCTTGGAACCAATGGACTTGAAGATGATAGAGCACAACATCCGCAATGACAAGTACGTGGCAGAAGAGGCCATGATTGAGGACATGAAGCTCATGTTCCGCAATGCCAGGCATTACAACGAGGAAGGCTCCCAGGTACTCACTGGACTCAGCAGCCACCCTTCTCTTTGCTGCTTTGCACACACACACTTCTGTTAGGATGGTTTCACTTTATTACTCACATTATTTATTATAATTGTTTACTGAACTAAACTAGAAATTCTCAGAATTCCTAGAAAATATGTCTTAGAAAGAAACTAGCTTTGTTTTCCTGGAAGTGGAGAGTGTGGGAGATCAGACTGGAAGACCTGATTTGTTTAGCTTAGCAAAATGAGTCTGAAAGGGAAATGGTTTTCATTTACAAGTATTTTGTTGGCTGTGTGTATACTGAGGTGCTTCTCAGGCAGCAAGAAGGAAGGATGATGTGAACCAGGGTAGTGATAAGAAACCTTCCTTCAGCTGTTTCTRATAAGGAACTTAATCAGCTACTGCACAAGACTTCATCACCAGGATTGGATTTGCAGACCCAGGACTGTTCTAGTCCTTTGTRCCTTGATTAATCACAAGGGATTCAGGGCTTCTTTCATGCTCAGCAGAAGGGTTTGATGAGGAAGTTGATAAGACAGCTGCACCTTGCCATTTTGAAGTCTTTGAAATAAAAATGCAGCTTAATTGGATAATTTATTCAACATTTGTAGCTCCCTGATTTATGTGGTGTCATCAGTTCTGCGTAAGTCAATTAAAAAGATGGACTTATTTTTCAAGTATACACCTTGAATAAAGTACTCAGTTTTGATTTCAGCTTTTCCAAACTAACATTTAAATGTTTTTTAGGGACTAATTCTAAACTAGTCTAAACTCAGTAAAGCTTGTTTTGGTTGGGTTTTGATTACTTTATTGATTAATAGGTGTACAATGATGCCCATATGCTGGAAAAGATCCTTAAAGAAAAAAGGAAAGAGCTGGGACCCTTGGCTGAAGATGATGATGTTGCATCCCCTAAACTAAAGCTAAGTAAGAAAACCTCGTGCTTTGCTTTTTCCCGTTTTAACACTTACAACACAATGCAGATAAACAGATCTTCTTTTCTGAATAGATGTGTTCTGCACAGTTGTTAACACTGACAAGGAAAGTAGAACTATATTTTCAAAATCTTGACAGCAATGTCATGTCTGTATTATATAACAGAATTAAGTTGTTGCATATAATGTTTTCTAAGAAAAGCAGCTTCAAGTGAAGGAAGAAAACTTGGGAATAGGTAGAATGAGTGAGATTTAGTCATGTAGTGTTATACAAGTGTTGGATGGTGCATTATGTGCTCAGTCAAGTAGAGYGCTTCTCAAACTGAGCAAAGCTCTGTTTCCCTGGTTAAATGTTTGGGATTTACATCGAGTGATAAAAAAAAAAAAGTGAACCTGGTTTGACAAGTTACTGAAACCATGAAAACCATGGAAGTGAAATGTCCCCTGTCTGTTCCTGGAGCTGTTGCCCTTACAAAGCTGCTACTCCTTGAGTCTTATGTCCCCATAATATGTGTTCAGAACTGACCAAACTGAGGATAAATTTGCACAAAAAGGCTTAAAGAAAATAACAGCACACTTTCCTCTTACAAATTAAATGTGCAGCTCTTGGRTAAGGTGCAGGTATAGAGAACTCTCAGGCAGAGTCTGTGCAGTAACAGAGATCCTGAGTTAATCAAAAAGCCAACTTGATAATCCCCTGGGAGGTCTTATTTTACAYTGTACTTGTAATAATCCTTTCTAATTTGGCATAAATGTGTCATAAACAAATCTGATAATATTTTGAATACTTAATTTTAGTGATAATAAAACCCCTGTGATGAGTGGGGTTTTAACAGCTGCAGAGAGAAATTCATGTAGAGCTGTATGACCAAAATTTTGTTAATGCTGTTAGGTAGGAAATGATGTTTTCCATGCTGAAGTCTAAGGAGGCCTTTGCTAGGTGGACCATGGAGCRACATATTCTGCATTTGCCAAGAAGAACACTAAAAAAAAATCATACAATTAYGAAAAATTAAAGMAGCTGCAGCCTGGAATTGGCTCCAYGTTGTGAGTGGTTCTTCCATAAGCGATTCTTCAGTTCGCATTAGAGATGGATGAAGAAATGTGCAACTTCTTGGCTTTGTAATTTCAGCTTCTTTTTCTTTTTGTCATCTTAGGTAGAAAAAGTGGCATTTCTCCTAAAAAATCCAAGTACATGACTCCAATGCAGCAGAAGCTGAAYGAGGTGTACGAGGCGGTGAAGAACTACACGGACAAGCGCGGCCGGCGGCTGAGTGCCATCTTCCTGCGGCTGCCGTCCCGCTCCGAGCTCCCCGACTACTACGTGACCATCAAAAAACCCGTGGACATGGAAAAGATCAGGAGCCACATGATGGCAAATAAATACCAGGATATCGACTCCATGGTGGAGGACTTTGTCATGATGTTCAATAACGCTTGCACGTATAATGARCCGGAATCTTTGATTTATAAAGATGCCTTGGTCCTGCATAAAGTTCTGCTTGAAACTCGGAGAGAAATAGAAGGAGATGAGGATTCTCATGTGCCCAATGTCACTCTGCTAATTCAAGAACTTATCCATAACCTCTTTGTGTCCGTTATGAGCCACCAGGATGATGAGGGCAGATGCTATAGTGACTCCTTAGCTGAGATTCCTGCTGTTGATCCCAACTTCCCAAATAAACCTCCTCTAACTTTTGATATTATCCGAAAAAATGTTGAAAATAATCGCTATAGAAGATTGGACTTGTTCCAGGAGAATATGTTTGAGGTACTGGAGAGGGCACGGAGAATGAACAGGTGAGACCCTTATTTTTCAGATATCCTTTATCTTGATATCCATTTGCATTTAATGTTAGACAAAGGCTGAAGTTTTTTTAAAGTCTTTGCTTTCCTTGATATGCGTGCTTGGAAAGGTAAATCTCAAAAGCTCTATCAGGTCTTCAGTGGAATGTTTGCTTTAAAATAAGTCAGTTTTGTTAATAACACCATTGTGCAAGTTTTCACAAGTTAACAGATTGTAGAGGTACAGTGACAAGTTGCCTTGGTCACAACTAGTTACCTTTGATTTTCCTGGCATTTCAGGACTGGTGTGTACAAAAATACTGGTTTGGGTAAACAATAATGCAAACTGACAGTCGAGTAACAGGTGAAGCATCACTTAATGCTTCATGGCTTCAGGTCAGCCTCTGCTGCTTTCTGTGAGTAAGCATAGGAATCTGCTGGCAGAGGGAAGCTTTTGATTGATCAAAAAGAGTAGTGATTGATAGGCGTGTTGARGTTCCTGTTTGACCCTGCACAAACTGTGTTTTTACCCTGTTGTACATGCTTTTGTACAGGACTGATTCAGAGATCTACGAGGATGCAGTGGAACTTCAGCAGTTCTTTATTAAAATTCGAGATGAACTTTGTAAAAATGGAGAGATTCTGCTGTCCCCCGCTCTCAGCTACACCACCAAGCATCTTCACAATGATGTAGAAAAGGAAAAGAAAGAAAAGCTACCCAAAGAAATAGAAGAGGATAAGCTCAAAAGGGAGGAGGAGAAGAGAGGTAACTGTGATTTTTTATTAATTTTGAATATACTTAATGAAAAATTGTACCCATGGATATGGTGCTGCAGCTTTGCCTGCTAGAATGATCTCAGTAGTCTGCTTGTTCCCCAGTCTTTTATTTTCAAGTTAGGAGAGATTCATTTTATTTTGATCCTTATCAACRAGGGCATAGGGATTTTAAGAAAGAGGTATAGGTAGATATTAAGCCTATGTGAACTCTTTAATCAGAGTACCTTGGAGTACCAATATTATCTCAAGGATATTAGAAAACAACAATTTTTTACTTTAGCTTTSTGCTGATAATAAACTGATCTTTTAGTCATTTTCTTTTTGACAAATACTGATGGTGTTGTCTATGATGATGATGCTTTTAACACTGCCAAAAACCTGGGATTTGAGTAAGCCTTTTGTGTTTGTACTTGGCCACTGGGAGTGTTAAGAGGAATGGGCTTGCACTATTTTGTAGGGCAAGAAGCCTACCCTGAAGGTCCTTTCTTTCCCAGTTCTGGCTGTTCCTGTCCTTGCTMCATTGTGGACCATATCCAGGGAATGAATACAGCTCTGCAATTGCACCTTTGCCCAGATGGGAGCAGAGCTGTTGGCAATTTTGTCCTTGAATTACCTTTCTAACATGGGTGATCTTCCCTCACAGATGTCAGCAGCAGTAAAGTCTGCTCACTCGAGGCTCAGAGTGAGGCACTGACATCAGCAATCTTGGCTAATGTGGAAATGTGACATTACTAACATCTGGTTTTCCCTTCTTGAAATAAGAAGCTGAAAAGAGTGAAGATTCCTCTGGATCAGCTGGGCTGTCAAGTTTGCATCGGACCTACAGCCAGGACTGCAGCTTCAAGAACAGCATGTACCATGTGGGAGATTATGTGTATGTGGAGCCTGCAGAAGCCAACTTGCAGCCTCACATCGTCTGCATTGAGAGGCTGTGGGAAGATTCAGCTGGTAAGGATGYCTTTGCTGCAGGAAAACAGTAGGGTGAAACTTTTTAGTGCTATTTTAAGCTTCCAATTTGATTTTTTTTTCCTGGGTAGATGTTCCTTATGTTATTTGTAGAACTGTGTGGACCAGTGAGTATTTTTCTTGTTTCGGAGTTGCTTTTTTTTTTTGCACATGGTTCATTTCTGCCTACCCTCAAATTGTAAGCCTTGCAGGGATTGGATCTGAGTGGGATGGACTCCTTGTAATTTAGGTGCAGAAGAACCCTGTTTTTCTGTGCTTAGAAGTCTGAATCAAAGTTGGGCACAGGTTTCCTTTGATTTAGAAGAATAGTATATATTTGTAACTTCTTTATAAATCATTGTTATCAATTTGAGTTTGTCACCACATAATTTGTCGCAGCATAAAATGAAAGAAATAGTTCTTTAAAAACTTAAGAGCAGTTACCTAAGATTCTTTAAATATAATCAGGTTAGTTGTATGGACTTTGAAGCCATTTCAAGTCCTGACAGTTAAGATCTATAAATAAGAATGAATTTCTACTTTCTTTTGTTCAGTCAGGTTTTACTGGAGAAGTAACAATTGGCAGGTTGCTTTTAAACAACCTTGTTTCTCTTTCCTGAAAAGTTTAACAAATATTGCTCTGTTTAAAAGCAGATTGCTCTCAGTATAAATGACTACATAGCTATTTTATTAATCAGTCAATCTATAATTGTTCTTACTTGGCTTATGCACTACASAATGTAATTTTACAATTTTTTTTCTTTGTATCTCCCTTCTCTTTTTTTTTTCTTTTTGTTGTTTTCTTTTTTAAAGGAGAGAAATGGCTCTATGGCTGCTGGTTTTATCGACCAAATGAAACGTTTCATCTTGCAACACGAAAATTCCTGGAGAAAGAAGTTTTCAAAAGTGATTATTACAATAAAGTTCCTGTTAGCAAAATTTTAGGCAAATGTGTGGTCATGTTTGTCAAGGTGAGAGGCTATTTGGACTAATTTATAAAGCAAATAATATGTTTTCTGCTATTTTCTTGTAGAGCTGTAGGCAATGTCTCTGACATAGAGACATTCTGTAATAACTAAATAAAATAGGCCTTGCTTCTGTGGGCTGTTTGTATTTTCCTTTGCTTCCTGGCATGTAATTCACCCAGTTCACCCTGTGCTGGTTGCTTTGTGTTTATGATCACCCCAGGYTTGGTGAATATATCCTCTTTCCAAGTCAGAAATCATGTAAAGGTGGTTTCAGGCTGCAGATCTTGTTCTTGTTAATACACTGGTTTGGTAAATGAATAAAACCTAACTCTACTCACATGCCAGCCTATAGTGAATTTAGCTCCTTCTCCCAGGGTGAGATTTCTTGTGGTTTGCTGTTATTCTTCATCCAAGTGAAACTTGGATATCAAATTGGAAGAAAAGAATTCAGCAGAAAGGCTTCTGACAGAAGCATAGAAAAAACTGAAATCATGAAAGGGAGTTCACTGTATGTCTGTGGGGTGTGGGTGTTGCTGAAATATTTAATATTTTTTCTTCAATCCACAGGAATATTTTAAATTGTGTCCTGAAAACTTCAGAGATGAGGATGTGTATGTCTGCGAGTCGCGCTATTCTGCAAAGACGAAGTCCTTTAAGAAGATTAARCTGTGGACTATGCCTGTGAGCTCTGTCAGATTTGTCCCACGAGATGTGCCCCTGCCCGTGGTCAGAGTCGCTTCTGTGTTTGCCAACACAGACAAAGTAGATGAGGAGAAACACAGTGAAACACTGGAGGACAGTAAGGTGGGAGAAAGTATCCTTCATCTTGAAAAGGTATGCAAGGGGAACATGATTATATTTGACAGATAAAGAATGACAAAATATTAGCCCTCATAGCTTGGGTTTCACCACATCCAAACACAACAAAATAAACACAATATTCCTGTTTTGGTATTATAGCCTTTGTAAATAAACATAAACAAAATATAAATAGACATAACAGATAATAATAAACTGTGTAAATATTTGTTACAAGCTTCTTTTTTGTGATCACCTGAAGGGGTTGGTTGGATTTTTTACTTCAGAAAATTACACTTTTACCGTAAAGCTTGCCTTAAGCYTAAGGAACTAGTAGAACTAAAAGTCTAGTTCATGGCAGTGCTGAAATGTTTTATTGTGCAGCATTTCAGTAAAACAGTCAGTAGCTAGGCAGCAGTAACCAATATATGATATTCTGTTGTTTGTGACCTGTTTGTGGTTGATAACTAAGTGCTTGATTGCCAAAATGTTTAAGAATATTTCTGTTTAATACTGAGTAAAATTTATTTTATTACTGAAGTTTATTTATTGTACCTAGAGTAAGAAAATAAATGTAAGTAAATGTATTAAAATAAAATTAATTAGTTTTACCTCAAATAAATTTGGAGCCATTAAAAATAAGCGAATCATGAAACATTATAAATAATTAAAAAAAATTAAAATTCCACTTTGCATTGGGTTCTCTAACAGAACCTGAGAACACAGTACCCAGCACACTCATTGTCAGTTTTTATCAGATACCTAGTGTGTATTCATGTAYTTATTCACATCATGACGAAAGATGAAATTAATTCTTCTGAGAGAGTGAAAACTCTTAGGGTCTTTTCCTTCCCCACCTTGGGAGACAGCCTGTGTTTCATGGGCTTTCTGAAATCCCAGGCTGAAAGATTAAATGAGGAACAATTTGAGTTTTTACTAAAAACTAAGAATTTAAACAGGGAAAATGGTATGAATATGCAAGCAATACATGGAGTGTTCACATTATTGTATGAGAGAGTTGAATAATTATATTTCTGTGTATGTCAGCTTGGCCATTTATTCAGGTCTTTCTTCCTAAGCACATTGCTGTGATTTAAACCAGAAAAGCTGACAAGGCTTGGTTTGGCCAGTTCACTTTGAAGCAGTAGAACAAAAARGGATCTGTAAATTACTATTCTGGCAAAATTAGAGCTTTGTGAAATAGGAAAGCTTGTGACAGGTAGGGAGGGCATTTTKGCTTTGCGATTTTAATTTAGGAACCTTTTGCACATACATCTCTGCTTAGTGCTTCCCCCTACTATTGTTAGCACAAAGGCAGCACAAAACCTTTTACTAGTACCTGGCATCTTTTTATTTCTGTGCTTGGTTTTCYTCCTTCCTCAAGTTTCTAAATGCTGCTTCTTCTGCAGGACAAAGAAGATGTTCCAGTAGAAATGTCCAATGGAGAACCTGGTTGCCATTACTTTGAACAGCTCTGCTACAATGACATGTGGCTGAAGGTTGGGGACTGTGTGTTCATCAAATCACACGGGCTGGTGCGGCCTCGAGTGGGAAGGTAGGGGCAGCTTCTTTATCTGCAGTTTGTGGCTGTAAAAATAACTTGGACAAAGGAGGGGCTGGTTACAAAGAGGTATAAAAGAGGATGGGAAAAATGTGAGTGAAGTGACAYAAGCTCTTGATAGACTGAGGTGGAGGTTTAGCTGCCTAATAAAAACCTGGTACAGTTRTACACTTGGAATAGGCTGTTCTTCTGTACTCATTTTCCACTGATGGTCTTCCTGAATGTCCTGCTGCCTCTTTTGGGAGAAATGGCCTTTCATTTATGTAATTTGGTTTCTTTGCAGAATTGAGAAGATGTGGGTGCGAGATGGAGCTGCATATTTCTTTGGTCCAATCTTTATACATCCTGAGGAAACTGAACATGAGCCAACTAAAATGTTCTACAAGAAAGAGGTGTTTTTGAGTAACTTGGAGGAGACCTGTCCCATGACTTGCATTTTGGGTAAGTGTTAACAGCTTTAAATCCAATTGACATTCTCCTTTTTTTTCTACACAATCTGAAGTGATTGATAGATATGTGCAGGCTTGATTCCAAGTATGTTTTTTTCATATTGAGGGAGGGATAAGAGATTATTCTGTGGATTTCTAATATGCATTCCTACCTGTGGAGACCTGTGGGGAGAATTTTCACTATAAGGAAGCTTTTTTACAATAAGGGAATTACACGTGTGATATGAAAGTGAACAATTTTGCAGCCAGAGAACAGAAAACTCCATTATTCTTGCTTATTAATGTAATTACTCCAGTACATATGACCTGGAAAGTTGAAAGGTGGAACAGAGGTTGAAATTTGATGTGTTGCGGAAGATGATGGCTGTGTAGTTTGTTCTGGAGTTCTGATGCTGTGATAAATACAGTAACTGACAGTGATCATGGGGGTTTGTTATTTTGTGGGTTCTCTAGTTCTTTWAAAAAAATCCAAAAGCTGCATTAAGTTGCTGTAGGTTTCTCATGAGTGGCATTAGTTGATTGGAATGTCAATTGATGTCTTTTCCATAGTTGCGCCAAATACCAGGAATCTTCCAGATTACAAAACAGGCAAAAGAATGGACTTTCCACACTTCTAACAAAAATTCTGCAGGTGTGGCTGCCTTCTTACCCTGCTCTTTCATTTCTGCAGGAAAGTGTGTCGTTCTGTCATTCAAAGACTTCCTCTCCTGCAGACCAACAGAAATCTCCGAAAACGATGTTTTTCTTTGCGAGAGCCGCTACAACGAAAGTGACAAACAGATGAAGAAATTCAAAGGGCTGAAGAGATTTTCACTGTCTGCGAAAGTTGTAGATGATGAAATATATTATTTTAGGTAAAAATAGTGAGGGGAATGAGGGGGTCACCTGAGTGCTCTTCTGGAGTGTGGTGGACTGGCAGCTAAGCCCTCACCCAGCCTCTTGGTCATTACCCCACATTGAAATAGGGAAGAGAATCTGAAGGGGAAAAAGAACAGAGCTCCTGGATCACATTAAAGACAGTTAGAAAAGTGAACCAAAGCTATGAATAAAGCAAAGTAAGGAATTAATTCCCGATTTTCCATTGGCAGGCAGATGTTCGGTTGTTTCCTGGAAAGCCTTGGCACATGTCATGGTTACTTGGAAATGCCATGCCCCTGAATGTGCCCCTGTCTTCCTCCTCCCCCCAGCTTCCACTGCTGAGCACCGTGTTACACAGTTTGGAGTATCCCCTTGGTTAGTTTGGCTTAGCTGTCCTGGTTGTTTCCCCTCCCAAATCCTGCTGGGCACAGAGTGGGGAAAAGGAAGAGTCTTGATGATGTTCCAATGCTGTTCAGCACTAATTACAACATGATGTGTTATCCACACTGCTGTCTCACAGATCCAAAACACGGCACCACTCTGCTGCTGTGCAAGAATTAAACCTATCCCAGCCTGACCCATCCACAGAAGTCCGAGGTGTRATTCAGCTCACCACACTCTTGGGAAGAAGCCCTGATAACATCAGTYTTTTCATGATCTTAATATCAGTAGATTTTTTTTCCTACCCCTGACTTTAGGAAAAATCATTGCTTTATCAGATTAGTAAATTCTGTTGGATATTATGAAAATAGTTAAGTCCTCATTATGGATAATGAAATTTTTTTCAGTTGGTGAACATTCATATTAATAAAGATATTAAGTTCTAACTTACATAAAAAGTGAAATCTAAGGAAGATGTGCCTTCTGTTGCAGAAATTAACTACTTGTATTTAAATCCCCTTCTAACTCATARAAAAATTCTTCTGACAAGTGACTGAAATGCAACACTGGCCACAGACACAAAAGTAGTTCTGTTCAGGGTTCTGAAAGGAAGAGCAGGCATTTCTCAAGTCACCATTGTTTCCATATTGTTCAATCATAAATGAAGAAAAGTTCATTTTCAAAAATAAGTTCTTATTCATAAGTAAAGTATGAGTGTGTTCTCAGCAAGTTTTTATCTTTCTCTTCCACCTTCAAGAAAGCCCATAGTTCCTCAGAAGGAGCCATCTCCTCTACTGGAAAAGAAGATTCAGCAGCTGGAAGCAAAATTTGCTGAGTTGGAAGGAGGTGATGAGGACATGGAAGAGATGGGAGAAGAGGAAGGTGATATGAGTGAAACACCTTCCATGCCTCAGCTTCAGGCCCCCTTAGCCAGTGATTTGGATATAATGCCTTATACTCCACCACAGGTAAGAATTTTCCTTCAGGAACCCTTAAACTTTTATATTCCACATTCTTTTCCCAATCCAAATGAAGAAAGAAACAGTAACATTTTATCATATACACACRAAGGATTTATACTTCAGTTTACAAGTGTTTGGAATGAATGACACAAGTTTTGGCATATCCAGTATGATRTCTGGGTGATAACATTTAATTTCATTAGAATATTTAAAAATACATCACTCAGCTGGGGAAAACCCAGTTTACRTTTTCTTATATGATAATGTTATTTCTAATTAGTAGGTTTTCTGTGACACTTGTTCAGAAGTATCAGATCTATGAATATATTTTTGTTTCCTTTTTTGCCTCCACCAGGTATTTGGAAACAATGACACTTTTCAAGATGTGACCAATTTGTAATGTTTGGGGTATGAGAAAGGCCTTTTGAGGGTTTTGATATGATGATCCATTTATGGGTCCTATTGGTCAGATTATGGATRAATTACAGTCTCCTGTGACAAACACAGGTGGAAGGGCCTTCAAAAAAGGGGTTCCAGCTCAGTATATGGGGTAGTATCTCAGTGTATGTCAGAACAGAATAATTTTTTGGTGGCTGGAAACATAAAGTAGCTTTCACCAGGAGTGTCCATAGTAGGAAAAGCAAAGGAGTGGAATTTTTGTTACTCATCAWTATAAGAACATGATGTGAAACTGCTGTGCAGGTAAACAGTGATCAGCAAAACTGGGCTTTGGTTTTTCAGGAAGAAATGGCTAATTATGTAATGAGAAGAACACTGGAGAGAAAGGATGGTCTGGCAGGTAAAATAACATTTAGAAAACAGGGAAAGTAGGGATTGCAGAGGCCGAGGAGGAAGTGGGGGAGCATTTTCCTAAAACGTGCAGTGGCAAATGAAATATTTTACTCAACTTGTGTTGGCAACATCTCTCAACAGCTCAGTGAATGAAATCTGTGACATAACACAATTCCTTTTGCTCTCTGCTGGCCTTCTCTTTTGTACTCTTGTGGTCATAACTGCTTTCTCTCACAGTCCACTCCCAAGTCTGTTAAGGGCAGCACCAAGAAGGAGGGATCAAAAAGGAAGATCAACATGAGTGGGTACATCTTGTTTAGCAGTGAGATGAGAGCTGTGATTAAAGCTCAGCACCCAGACTACTCCTTTGGAGAGCTCAGCAGACTTGTAGGAACTGAATGGAGAAACTTGGAAGCAACAAAGAAAGCAGAATATGAAGGTAAATAAAAACTGAGCTGCTAAACTCTTTTCTGCCTTTTTTTCATTCTCAACACTTTCTGTTGTTCAGATGACAGGTTTAATAAAAGAAAATGTTTATGTTTGTGTTCTGGATGAGCCTTAAAGAGAAGTTCATATTGAGAGATGACAGAAGAGGAGCAAAGAGCATGTTTCAGTTATGTAGAGCACAACTGATAATTTAAATGTCTTTGCCACAAATAACTAAATTAACAAAGACAAAAAAAAATAGAAGCAAAGGGGCATGAAACCCCTGAGCTTAGAAGTAGGTTGGAAAAATACTTTGTGAATATTKCCTTAAAGAAGGACTGAGGGGAATTTTGGACAAGAAGCTCTTGAGAGCTGTAGCAGCAGGTAAGAAAGATTTGCAGGGGAGTGGGGAGAAGTTCATTATTAACAGTACGAGTCCTAAGAGGCTTTGTATTTTACTGTAAATACAACCTATTGTTTAGTCACARTATTAATGAACTCTTGTAACTGATTTTGTCAAGAGGTTTCATATCCTGAAGTATGCCAGGAATATTTCATAATCATGAGATACTTTCGACCTATCTTTTTGTCCCTCTCCTCCCTTCTTTTCCTCAATTCCCTCCCTCCTTTCCTTTCTTTCCCTCCCTCCTTTCCTTCCATTCCTTCCCTCCCTTCTAATAAATAGTCATTGTGTTTTAACTTTTATTTGATTAAAGTAAAATACAGCTGATCTTTAACAGCCAGCCCTGACCCAGGCCAGACGCATTGGCTTAACATCCATGTTATTTCTCTARTTCATAGCATGTCAGCACTATTAACTACTGTATTGATGCAATTTTATGGAAAGAAAATGCTCCTTTGGATAGGAACATTTCAACATCCTGGAAGGTTATGGCCCAATTAAGTTATAACTTTGAAAATGATAATTGATAGGTTTTCTGCACATTCATAACTTAAAGGCAGCTSTGATCTTGAGGCTGGAAGCTTGCATGCTGTCACTGTCCACTCTCAGCCAGCTGAGTCCTTTCTGAATTTTCRGCAGCACCTCTTTGCAGTTCTGGAGGGTAATAGAGCACCCTGTKTTATGTGCAAGTTTGCTTTGCTAGTGCTGCCAAGGGAAATGGTAACGCTCTTTCTTTGTTAGAGTATTGTGGCCTTCCTTTATTCTGTAGTTTCCTTTTATGCCCTTCTAGGTGCATGTGTTGTCCTTTTATTGGCAGATCCCTCCTTTCAGTCTAATCCCTCAGCAGGAGGGTGGCTGGCATGTCACTGCTTCCTTGCTTAGAGCAGCTTCAAGTCCTGCACTTCTGCAGGAAGGCTGTGTTTGTCCACCGTGTTAATGATTGTCTGTGTGCTTCCATTTTAATCTTCCTTCTCAATTAAAATTTTCCGAAGCTTTTGGGGTTTGAGCTGCAGTTTCCCTGGCTTGGTGTCTGCCCTGAACTAGACTTAACTTTTGCTTGGTTTTGAGGGGGTTTGAATGGGGTAACAAAGTATCCAAACGGGGTTTGCTTACCATGTGTGAAAGGAGAGAAACTATTCCTTCCACTGTGAGGAGTCAAAATTCATGTTTCCTGATGTGGGTGTGCASCAGGGAGCAGGGAGTGGGCATGGTTGAACACCTCAGTGAAAGGAGGCCCTTCCATTTTCTGGGGAAAAGTAGTTTGCATTTTAGAAGCATTTTGACCCACTGAAAATTATGTTTGGTTCATGTGCAGGGTATTAGTTGGTTTTTTAGCAATAGCTGAGTAAAGCAGAGGCTGTGTTGGAAGTGCCTGCATGGCTAAATGAAGTAAAATAAAASAATGAGTGGGGTTGAGGGAAAGGCCTGTTTCCAGGAAGAACTCTGTTCAAAGTAGAAGGTCTCTTTCCTGTCTCTTGAGCTGTGTTGGAAATGTTTGAATGATCTCAAGTCCTGGCCTATGTGATTTGGGTTTGGTATTGAGTATTAGGCTGAACTTTCAGATCCCTCCTCCAATTTCCTTTGGCCATATTACTCCATCTGTTACTTCCATGGCAGTCAGGGCATGGATAGGGGCTAGGTAAAACATAACTACTGTCCTACATCAGGTCCTTCTCCAAACGTCAGCACTCTGAAGTCTGATAAAGCTGAACACTTAACAGTAATTTCTCATTCATCAGAGTGTCTCTTTTGCTTTTGTCTCRCCTTTTTTTTTATTTTAGCTGGCCAGAAGTAGGTGAGAGCCAGAGCAACTGCTTCATCTTTTCCCCAAGTGTTTGCTGTACTCTGGAGAGGATTATCTCATTTTTCCACTTCAGGATCTATCTTCAAATATTTTGTGTGTTTTGTGCTCAACTGCATCTAAGTTACCTGTATTAAATGTAGGCATTTCTCTGCGTCGTCATCGCTCCCTGAAATGACAGAARTGGGAAGAAGGAAGGAAATGCCTTTGGAAATGAAACTGGTCTTTGAGTGTATGGAAGGAGTGCTAGAAGCTGCACATACAGGTTCTAGTGGAGTCAGAAGCGTGGTAGATGTTCRAAGTCATGTACTAGAGGAAGCAAATAGCACTGGCAGGATGTATAACTTAATCTCCTTGATGAACTTCTTCTTAGCCTTCATGGGACAGAGGACCTTGATTGCTGGTTTAGTGGCAGTTTCCATCTTTCACCAACTGCAAGAAACTCATAGCCCTGCATTCACTGGTGTTAAAAATGGCTGGAGATGTATCCTGTGTCCATTTATTCTTCCTTGTTCCTCATTGTGCCTGTCAGACACAATGTTCAGAGTAAACAAAGCAGGAACTTGCATGCCCCCAAATCACCTGGAGTGGGCATTCAGTATATCTCTTTTTTTGTTTGCTTGGGTTTTGGTTTTTTTTTTCTTTCTTCTTCCCATGACCCTTTGCCCTTCCCTTAATATAAAATTGTCCTCTGGTCAGATTACCCTGCAGTAGATCTTTTGTTCTTGCAGTCACAGTGAGAGACTTGATTGAGATAATGACCAGAGTCATCGTACAAAGGACACACATGACCTCCAGTGAGCAGCACAATGTGAGTTAGACATCTTCAGAAAAAAAAACCTCATAGGGGACCAAATGGGGAAATGACAGAGGCAGAGAAAAGTATTTTTGGTTTATCAAACTGCTGCTTGTTATGTTCCAAAAGCTAAGGACCAATCTACACTAGGGAAACTTTACAAATGCTCCCCGATTTTGCCACCACTTTTCAGCTGCATCAGTAGTRAAATATATGGGGAGCCCACAAATAAGTGTGCCATCAGCTGGCACTGCTGTCTGCTCTTCACATCATTCTGTAAGGCACACCTGCCAGATGTGGGGCTTCAATTCCCACAGCAGCTGGTGGAGGATCTGCCCAAGAGCTGCTGGCCTTGGCTGCAGCTGGTTTGGCTGAGCCCGTGGTGTCAAAACAGGGAATGTTTTGCCATGTCCTAGTGCGGACCGAGCCTAGTGCTGGACTGCTGCTTCATGTTGGTAACACTGGTRTTATTATCAATCAAATTTGTTCTTTAACTTTTTTTAAATCTTTATTTTATTATTTATTTTAATTTTATTTTTTTTTAGAAAGAGATAAAACTTTGTGGAATATTTTTCATGAAAGGTTTTCTAAAAGTCTTAGCTGCAGCTAATCAAATCATTTGCTGTATAAAAAAGATTCATCTGTTCTACTTTATATTTGACTAAACTATGCCAGTGTCTGACTAGTCCTTTTTAATGAACAGATAATATTTTGAAATTCTGGGTTACAAAACAGAACTGAAAATCTAAAATACTTTTACAGAGCGGGCAGCTAAAGTTGCTGAGCAGCAGGAGAGAGAGCGAGCAGCACAGCAGCAGAATTCCTCCCCCCGGGCAGGCACTCCTGTCGGGGCTCTTATGGGGGTGGTGCCGCCACCAACACCAATGGGAATGCTCAATCAGCAGTTGACACCCGTTGCAGGTAAAACGTAGGAGCTATGACCATTTTTTCCTCATCCACTTTATCAACCCCTTCATAACTCTGAACACACTCTTGGGTGACATTGGAAGCGAAAGCTCAAACTCTTCAGTCTTCCTTCATGATGAACATACCTAGTGCAGCAGTGGCCTGGTGTCAGCATTACTTGCTCCAGTGGAGAGTAGCCTGTGGCAAGTGCAGGGAGGCAGGGTCCTCGTGCAGTGCTCCTGTTCTGTTGGTGTGCAGTTGTTTTGGTTCACTCTGCCTYGCAGAGTTCACCTTTAGCCCTGCTGGGGCAGGAGAGCACCAGTGAAGGAGTCTTCTAGTGCATGCAGTGTCTGTGGCAGTGCTAAAGCAGGAGGGAGATTGCTGGGGCTTTTATTGTCAGGGAGGTGAGAGGCCAACGAAGTCGAACCCAGATTTTAAATCCAAGCAAAAGCTTTGTAGAATTGCCTCTTGGGCACTGGTAAGCAGAGCAGACCAGGATCTAGAGCAATTGCAGAAACAAAACCAAAATGACAACATTGCTGGTTTTATCAGGTTATTTTTCAGAATAGAACTGAGCTTGGAGAACTTCCACGAGGTCCCTGTTGCTGGGTGTTGAGCTCGTTACCAGTTGTAATCCGGCTTGATTTCATAGGGAGTATGCTCGGAGTAAGTATTTTCAGGATCAGATCTGAAGACAATGTAGTTCCCTGAAGATTCTTGTATGGGAATCAGCCGTACATGAGTGAGAAAATTAATTAGGTGTGACCTGATAAGTTGTTTTCCTTCACCAGTTTCCGTTTAAAATAAGAATTAAATGGCTTCAGTCAAGGTCAAAATAGTGCCGTGTAGATAAAAATGAGTATTTGGAGGGTTTTTGATTTGAGTTTTGGGGTCTTTTTAACTTTCCCTTAAGACATTCCAATTATTCCATTTATTCTTTTGTCATTTTTCTTTTTCTTTCTCATCTCGCAGGCTGTGGCCTTATTTCGAGCTGACAGCCTGAAGCGTTTTTCATCACGGTCCCTAAATCCCTTTTCAGTAAATAGGCTGCATGGATGTTTAACTGAAGGCACATTCCTTAGTTGGTTCATGATCTCCAGGTTACAAAACATTTGTTTACACTGACTTGCATTTTTCTTTTGGCTTTTTTTCACTCTGCTCATGGTAATTTCCCTCTGAACTGTTTGCAGTTGGTGTATGTTTGTGTGTGTGTATGTACACTTATCTGTGCGTATATTAAGAAAAAGGAGGGAAAAAATGAGTTCCCCAGTGCTGATCYCTTTTGTGAACAATTCTCTTCATCTAGGATATGTAGAAGTATCATCCTCTTGTGGTTGTGTTTTCTTGGTTTGGTTCTTGGGCTTTTTGGCACTGAGTCACTTTTTACAATTTTTGGAGGCAGGTGTTGATGGGCAGTAATACTTGCTATTAACACTTGCTTAAAATTTTCCAAAAAATGTGCATCCTACAAACTACACATTCTACTTTATTTCCTGTGACAGTAAACCTCTATTTCAGACCATTGTCTTATTCAAGCAGTTCAATGCTCCATGCTCTTCACTTAGGCATGGGAAAATACTCCCTTAAAGTAGAGGATTGAGCAGATCCTTTTAAGCTTTTTCTGGTTTTGTGGCCCACTTGAAAAACACAGTCTTTCATCTTTTGATTTTTCACAAGTCTTACTTGGAAGTATCTTGTTCTGCTTGGGCCTCTTATGCATCCTCCATCCTTGGATTACTTTTCTCTGGTTCAGAGAGCTTTTCCATCATAGAACTTCTTCATGGCCCACGGGTTCAGGAAATCTGGAAGCCTTCTGAGATGTTTCTCTTAGTGTGCAGCACTTTAGTGTCTTCTCCATTTAGGTCCTGCAAAGGTTTACTTAACCTTACATTGTTAAAGTAAAAAACAGGAGAACAAATAGGTTCAAAGACACCCTAAATCACAGTTGTGAGAGCTGGAAATAGTTTGCCCTTGTTTACTRATTTAAAATAAAAGTTTGCAATTCATACATGGGATAAGAAAGTAGCTCTTATACAGAAGGAGCAAGGAAAACTGATTTCTCATGGAGATTTGATGGCGCCTTTATTAGCCCAGCCAGCTGTTGAGTATTTTAATTGGAAATGTAGAAATAAGTTTTCATGATTGATAAATATGGGTCTAACTCCTTGGAGGGTTTTTTGTTTGTTTGTTTTAAAGCTTCAGAAGTGCCTGTAACTGCACTGAAGATGTGTCAGCAGCTTGGGGTGCACTTGAATTATCAGGCAGTAGCTACAGTGAGAAAGCCTTTGTGCCAGGGAGACTTTTGTGGTTTTTCTTCTTTTATTTTTTCCTTTGATAATATGGATTTCAGTGTAATAAAGAKGTACAGATAAGGTTCCAGGTATTTGAAGTAGGTATCTAAGGCATATTTAACCTGTCAGTCTAGGTAGTCTAGGTACCCTGTGGAAAATGAAGGCTCGAGGGAGATTAGTTCTTTATTTTCTTGGTGTTTTCTCCACATGAAGCTTTTGGGATTGGAGGTTTGTCACCTTTGTAACTTCCCGAGGAAGTGACAGATTTAGCTTGTATTTTGGAGCTGCTTCTCCTGTTCAGACCCTGAGCTTGCAACAGCTTTGTTCTCAGTCAGAAGCGGTGAGAGTTCTTGGCCAGTCTCATTCCAGAAATCCCTGTTTTGAGAGTTCCTTTTAAGAATTACAGGGAGTGTGGCAAAGACTTGGTGGTTTCTTGGAACAGACTATAGAAGCCCCAGCAAATTTGCATTTCTAACTTACCTCAACTCTCTAGACCTGCTTCTGTCCTCTGTCATCTTTTCATTGTCTTTCCAACCCTTTTCCTTGCTTACCTGGCAGTGCATCCATTTAAATTAAACATTCCAGGGCCTAACAAGCATAGTGCAGTTATATTGTGTAGGTATAGGTTCACTACATGGGTAGTAGCAAATCTGAGCCAAAGCCTGAAAAAACCTCAATTTTCTTCCCTCACGTGCAGAAAACTAAATTTTCGAACAGCAGCACAATACAATGTCACTGATTTTCCTATAAAAACACCTTGAAGACATGGACAGTRAAATTCTGTGAGGGACTGCAGATGCTCTTTTCAAGTCTATACTCAAGCCAAATGCCATGAGTGTAAATTACTGCAGCCCAGCAGAGCCAAGTGTAAAATTTGTGTTACTGCCTTAGTTCATACTGGAGATGGTTTAATAAAAATCACTCATCACTGCCATTAGTTTCAAGTATGTGAATGTTGTAGGACTTCTGTGCATCAATTTTGCATGTGTACTGCAGGAAAATGTCTGGGGTTTTGTTTTTGTGGCCTCTGAGCTAGCCCACAGAGCAGGGCTGTCCATGGAGCTGGCAAGTTAATGTTGTGTTTGTAATCTGTATGCAGATGGCAGAGCTTTAAGCTATATTAAAACTGCTTGCATTAGTAACATTTAATTGTGGCTGAATTTATTCCTCGTGTTAACATATCTGAGTATTCAACATTTTTTGCCCCATGAGAAATATACAAATACACTAAATACTAATTCATCAAAAGTATAGTGTTTCATATCTACAGCTTTTTTTTTTTATTTTTAGTTTTGTTATTTTTTTTTGCAAGATACTAATTGTAGTACTGTCTTGCTGTACTAAAGGTGCTTTTGTGTGTGTGTGTGTGTGTGGATAGTGCATGTCTGTGCATACTGTGTAGACCATATTGCATGTTATTGATGCATGTTTGAAATTTGTTGTGTCCTTCAAGGCATGATAAGTGGCTATCCACCGGTGCTGCCACCTTTGCAGGGCCCAGTTGATGGCATTGTTAGCATGGGCAGCATGCAGCCACTTCACCCAGGGGTGCCCCCACCCCACCAACTCCCGCCAGGTATGCCAGGCATCCCAGGCATCCCACCACCCGGTAAGAACCTCATCCTCATTCCCTCTTTATTTCATTGTCATGTWCTTGGTTTAACCAGTTGTTCCAGGAGTTCTCTGCAGCTTGTTCTGGTCGTGGTTTGGAGCACGGTGGGATGGCTGAGCTGCAGCGCTGCTGAATACCAGGGGTGTGCAAAATGCTGACATGACAGCACATCCAATAAACCCTCAGGGAAAGGCTACTGGAGAAATGTGGTGCTGCTCCAGCAGGAGTTTTGTTCCAACCAGAAAAACTTTGATGATTATGCTTGAGTTTATCAGAAGTGTGAAAAGCTGAAATCAGGCTGTTCATATATTTATGTCATTTGAACAGCATCTSTACACTCATCCTTTTCTTAATTTGAAGTGGGGTAATAAATGAAATTTCTTAGTGTCATTCCTTACCAAAGTCTTTTTCAGTGTGTTAATGCCAGAATGCACTGAAATGAGCCTGGTCCTGTAAGACTCCTTGCCACTGGGCCACTGATGTGTTATTGTAAAACAGYGTTCAGATTAAAACTCGCTGATAGAACAGTGACTGGAAACATGTAGGGACAAGGTGMATTCAGTATTCTGTGTGGCCAAGTTTTGAACTGATTTTTGAGAGCATTTGTAGTACATTTGCTGTATTTTTGCTACACTTTTGATGAAAAGTGTGGCTGCATGAAAGAARTGTTTTGCCAGTGTTAATGCCATTAATGTGTTCCCATTGAGGGGAAAAACATTCATCTGCTCTCTGATCCTGTTTTCTGCAGATTCATTTTTTGCCTCTGATAACTCACATGCCTTGTGTAAAAGATGTGCATCCCTACRTTCAGCAGTTAAACAAGCTGTGGACAAAATGGTCTCATTTGCCTCCCCCTGCCCCTTTGCAACTGTGTTTATCAGAGCTCTGWTAATAATTTTATCTGTATGCAAATTATTTGAGTTGGGGAGTTTTTGTTTGCTTGGTGTTGGTTAAATCCTTTAGTGTTCCACTGCAGTTTGGCTGGAGTGCCCCATTCCCTGTGCTGTCACTGGAGGGAGCAGGACAGCAGCTGTGCAGTGACACTTGGCACACATCAGCCAAACGGGTGGGAGGTGAATCCAGGATGGTKCATCCCTTTGAAGGGCWTTTCCCACTGCCCTGGGCTGGATGYAGAGTGTTTAAAACTGACAGCATGTGGATTAGCAAAGAAACAGTGCCTGGGAATGGAGGACCACACGTGAGGTGGTGCTGGACTGGGCACAGCAGGCTAAGGGTGAAGCTGTGCTCTGATGCTGGCAAGGGGAGGGTGCCCTCCTCCAGACCCCTTCCCTCTGGACTGAAAATAATTCCACAATTTGTCTTTCCAATGTTTTTTTCCCAGCTTCTGACATGCAGTTGGTACAGATGCATTTAAAATGGGAGCTCTGATCAAATGGAAAGAGCATTTGAAATATACTTTAGTGTGTGAAAGCCGATGGCACGTTCTTTGATCACTGATACAGAAATCATGCATTTAATTCATGTAAATTAAACCCTCAGGAAAAGCATACTTAGTCTGCAGCTTTTGCAATGAATGAACAYGAGAAGTGGCACAAACAGAAAGAAAAGCAGCAGCACACAGAACTTTTGTTCTTTTTCAGACCAAAACATCTGTATGTAAAATATCATGGGACTACATGACTCTCATTTAGATCTGTGTATTTTTGTATGTTAGACCAACGCAGTTGTGCTGCACTTTGTGCACTAGAGTCTCAATATGCTTTAGAAAAGCAGCTTTAATTTTTTTTTTATTTTTTGAATATTGATTTCCAATATTCATCCTTCTGTAGATAAGACTATTGRAACTTAACCTGCAAGTTGCAATTTATGTTAGTGAGATCTAACAGAATTTGTGCAGRGGCTTGAGTTTCATCCTGCTTTGGACGTATTTTACAAAACTGAACACAAGGAAATGTTAAATGTTGCTAAAGCAGATCAGCATTTCCTTTCTTAAAGGACTAGAGGAAGATTCTGTCAATCCAAAGGTGTATGTTATAAATGAAAAAATGTAGTCAGGCAATCACTAAGTAATGTGAAAAAAAACCCTGAAAAGCAAAAACTATTTACCTTTTATTTCTCTAATTAAAATAAAACAACAGGCCACTTATCAGTGTTTGGTAGTTGTCATGTTGGCTTTTTTTTCATTCAGAAAATTGTGAATTTTTTACTGGGGGCAAGGGGATATTTGAATGTTGTACATGTGCTAAAAATAACTGTGAGCAGTGATATCGAAGTATAAATTCTTACTATAGAAGACCAAAGAGGTATTTGTCACTGCTCTGAAGTAAGACTAATTATTTTATATTTTGGAATATAGGTGTTATAGGCCAAAATGTGTCCCCCATGGTAGGCACTCCAGCACCAGGAGCAAGTCCCTTTGGACAGCAGGTGAGTCATTTTTGCTTTATTTATGAGGCTCTAAGGCTCATTTAAGCAACATCCCAGCTCAGACATRTAGGGATGCACACAGACTTTCCCAGGGAGAGCAGAAATGAAATGTGCTCTGRTGTGTTTAGAAACAGTGAATACCTCACACTTGGAGATGCCTGTATGTCTGTAATTAATGGTTGTGGTGTTGTTACACTCATGAGGTTTGTCCAGTGAGTTAACTTAGTATAAACAGGGCAATATTTTGTCTTAATTGTCTACTGTGAAACTGCTGATAATTTAGGTTTTGCATGCTTTGGTGGCACACAGAGGATGCTGCCCGCTTTATCAGCTGTTGATGAGTGGTAAAAACTATTCGTATTTTACAAACTGATGAAGCAGATGTTCATTGGCAGTCCAGAATTTGTGAGTTTGGGTGACTGTGATGATGAGATATTCCTTGTCAGTGATTAATGCAGATCAACTGTTCAGAACATTTYCAACTTTATTGAGTGAATTTTTTCATCATAAAGAGAAATGTGATTTTAGCTTGAGGGTGTCAGGGAAAGGAGGGAGAGTGGCTATGCACAGACAGGCAGTGATAGCATGAGGGGAAATGGTTTTAAACTAAAAGAGGAGAGTTTTAGATTAGATGCTGGGAAGAAATTATTCAGAARCACTGGCACAGGTTGCCCAGAGAAATTGTGGCTGCTCCATCCCTGGAAGTGTCCAAGGCCAGGCTGGATGGGGCTTGGAGCAACCCGGGATAGTGGAAGGTGTCCCTGCCCATGGCAGGGGATTGGAACGAGATGGTCTCTAAGGCCTCTTCCAACCCAAGCCATTCTGTGACTCTGTGAGAACCAGAAGTGGTAAAGTGTTGATGTCATGACATTGAGTTATTCCAGACCATGGGATGTCTGTGCTAAGAGTTCTCAGTTCTGCTGGTTAAYCGCAGTGGTAGGAATTCTGCGTGACTGGGAATTTTCCTGCCTGAGAGGAAAGGAAATCTCTCCTTTTCTTGAGAGATTCTGTGGAAATATCCCAGTTGTCCAATGATCTGTGTTAATTTGGATTAGGTGTTTTAAATTCTGCACTTACAGACCACAGTATTTCAGATCAAATTGGAGAAAGCATGAAATAAAGAGGAGATAAAAGGTGTAATTATGGTTAGTAGGAGAAAAGAGATATGGTGATGATAACCAGAGTATATTTACAGAAATATGAAAAATATCTGTTGAGTCTGAATATGGTTGGTTTGCACTTTCTTTCTCTGTGCCAAAGTGGGTGTCTGGCCAAAGTGGGTGTCTCCAGGGAAATTTTCTTAGGCCTTTGCACATAACCTCATTTGAAAGCTGTGCTGTATGTGGGTGTTCTCTGCAGTTGCCCCAGTGTGACCAGTCCCTGGCTTTGCCATTGCAGATAGGAATCCTGGGCCCGCCGGGCCAGCAGGCGCCCCCTCCGTACCCCGGGCAGAGCCCCGTCAGCCAGCCCGTCATGCAGCAGCCCAGCACCCCCATGTTCGTCTCCCCTCCACCAAAGACACAGAGGCTCCTTCATTCTGAAGCCTACCTGAAATACATTGAGGGGCTCAGTGCTGAGTCCAACAGCATCAGCAAGTGGGACCAGACCCTTGCAGGTAAGGCTTTGGGTTCCTTSTAACCATTATTTTTGCTTTCATAGAAAACATGAAATAATTCTGCTGTTTAATTAATAAAATATATGCATGCAATTAATTCTTAAAGATAAATCAACAGACTGAGAATATGTATGTTATCCACAGGCTGATTACACCAATGTTGCATAAACCTAAGAATCAGTGGTATGGGCTTAAATACTAAGAGCAGTAGTAGAGTACCTCATACTGCAGAGTTACATTTGCCTTTTCCTAGAAAAAGCCAGTAGATAATGGGAGCATTTTTTGGATTTTGCAGCACGAAGACGAGATGTGCACTTGTCCAAGGAGCAGGAGAGCCGCCTGCCCTCGCACTGGTTGAAAAGCAAAGGGGCTCACACCACGATGGCCGATGCGCTGTGGCGCCTGCGGGATCTGATGCTGCGGGACACGCTGAACATCCGCCAGGCCTACAACCTGGAGAACGTGTAGGAACAGCAACCCTCCTGCTTCAGGAGCTTGTGGGACAATAGCTGGTTTAGTTACTGGGTGGGAAGAGATAACCAACAATAATTTGTATTGCATTTTACTGTACATTGCAAGACCATTTTTATATAAGGACACTTTTAATAAGCATATTTCACTTTTTGTTATATTAAGTTGACTTTATCAAATACACAGATTTTTTGCATATGTTTCCTTTGTTTGAAAGGCGATTTCATAATTGGTTAAGTGTAGTCAAGGATTCATCTTTCTTATACTTTATTGCTGAGAATCTGATGCCATTGTTTTTATATAAAAAAAAAAAAAGGAAAACAAAGTATTTACAGATTGATACAGTGGAATGTGAATTAGTCATAGTTTACATCCTATAAGAATGTGTGTACCTGTGCTTGTGTGTGCTGGCCACTTCAGGAAGAACTCTTGCTCGGATGTGAACAGAGAGGATCTCTTAAAAGAAGCTGAAGGTGAGAATTGCTTTGCCACTAAGGGAAATTGGCATTCCAAGTCAACACTGAAGCRGCTGAGTGGGCCACAGCAGCCCTGGAAGTGCTGGTGTGGATGGGACAAGGATGTCTTGACTGCTCATGTTGTCCAGTCCTGTCCAKTTATTTAACTGCGTAGCCAAGGCCATTGTGACCCTAAATCAGTARCATGGTTGCTGTGCTGGCAGGCCCTTGGAGGGAAAGTGTTTCATCTGCCATGACCTGTGCTGGGGGTTCTGYGATGTCCCCAACACCCAGCAGTGGGACAGGGCAGCTCCTTCCTTAAGAGATTCTGTCTGTGCTGGGGGAGGCTCGCAGAACTTGGAACCAGCCCAGGTCTTGGAAGGTAAGTTAGGGGAGAAAARTAGAGTTGTTTTGTTAGTGGAGTCATGTGATGTTTTTTTAATGCACACATACTCTGTTCATTATTGGGCATTGTAAGACATTTTTGTATGCTTTCTTTATGTGTATTCATTAACCTTAGTGAAAGTTTTGCAATGCAAATTTGAATGAAATTTGATACTTAAATTAACTTGAAGGTAAATTACTACCATATGGTATGGTATGTGTAAGGTCAGCATACCCAGTACATTGGAGAAATAGAGTCCTTGAATTGCAGCCTTCAAAGGGTTTGGKTTTTTTTTTTCTTTTTTTAAAATCTAAGTAAAGTAGGTATCAACTCTTCTTGCCAAATTTCAAGGTTGTGGCTGCCTTCTGCTAAAGACTTACCTGTCCTCATAACTAACCAACTTTTTGGTCTACAAAGTTACTTGTTTAAAGGTAAATACTTTCCTTTGTTTATTTTTGGAACAAGAATTAATACTTTCGGATTACTTTAAGTAACTGGGAAACCTCTATGAATTTGAAAAAAAGTCAGCAGGAACGTGGGCACTGCAACTCAGCCCAAATGAACTGATTTACTAATACGCTTCATTTATGCTAGAGATGTTCATCATGTGGAAATGAGTTTTAAAGTCTGTTAGTACAGAACATTTTCATTTCAGTATATTGGCAGAAGGTTAAATTAAATATTTTCCTTCAAGTATCTTGGGGTTTGTTTTGSTGATGTAATTAATACTCATGAGGGAAGTGACACTTGCAAGTATAAACTGTGATTTAATTTTACTAGCCAATTCCTCTCCCTCTCCTATTGCAATCCTCCAGTCACTGCACAGAATACCCCAGGTAATTACCAATAGGCACTTAGTTTRGGTCAGATGTGCAATGGCTGTGAAGGAAATGGAGCAAAACAACATAGAGGGAAATGACAGTTTTGAACTCTACAAGTAGCACACCCACGGTACAGAAATTCTTTACTGGCCTTTGTAAATGACTGATTTTATTTAATGAAGTAGTAATTGARTAGTCTTAGACCACCCCTATAAAATATAAGTTACCATAGGTTTTGCAGTTTTTAGCCACAAAGATGGGACGTTGAAGTGAATCAGGCAGCAAAATCCTAGTTTTTGAGCATTTGGAACTATCATGGATTGTACTGATACACCACCAGATTCTTCTACTTCTCAGCATTAACAAAAACTACACCAAAGAACCTGGGATGAATTTTAATTAAATTATTGTTTTATTTATTTTCTTTTGAGGACTGGATGGGACTCCCTTTGGAGCCTGTATAACTCAAATGTTTAATTTATCTGAAGGTCAGTGATGAACAGATGTGCAGCACTGGCTCTCTCCTGCCAAGCAGCTGAATCCCTCCTTTTGCTGCTCTTTCTGGCCCAGGAGCAAGAGATTGGAAGTGCAAACAAAACCTGGCTCCTCCCTCAAGGCAGTGCAGAGCACTACCACTARGCCACTGGGCTGGCCCTGATCAATTATTTTAAGCCTTATTTATTTCAAAATTGTTTCTCTCTATACTGGAGGCATTTCAGTCCATTGCAGTGAAATTTAGGATATAATGGCTACAGTCTAGAAATCAAAACCAGCAAAAGAAACTTTTCTCTCTCTGGTTAAAAAAAAAAAAAAAAAAAAAAAAAAAAAAAGACATGTCTGTCTGTCTCTTTTTCTCTCTTTGTGGGTGTTTGAACCCCTCATCTGTTTTTCACTGCCGTTCATTGTACTGGCGTAAACAAAACTTCCATATTAAAATAAAAGGATGTGTGGGCAATGGTTGGCTTCTGTGAGAGTGGAAAATAGATAAAACTAGGACAGGTATTTTCATAAACCAGTTGGAGACAACTAATAACTATTTGTTCTCTTCTTCAGTCCTTCCATGAGAAAATTTACTGTTTGTGTAAAAATTCAAAACGTTGATGTTGGTGACTTTTTTTCAGCATATGTTTTTGTACCTGGTTTATCCATGTTTGGCTTTTCATTAGATCTTGTACTACTGAAGGCTGAGCTGCTAACCAGGTTTATAACATGTATGTACCATCACTTTGTTTACCTGAGTCTTTTTAATTTGAATAAAAATAGTTTGCAAAGTGTTTTGGATTAACCAGGTTTGAGTGTTCCATTAAGACTTCTGTTAGGATTTTATTTCAAGTACTTCTGGCTGTTGCTGATTCAGATGTTCTCGAGTCCTTGGTATGTGTGCTTATGTGTGGATAAAATACTCTTTTTCTATTGTTCTGTGTAGTGTGAGACATGCCTGTAGGTGATAAAAACAGTGATGTTGAAAATTGAGCCATAACGAGCATGAACAGTGAACCTTGAAAAATATGTGATGCATTGGGAACCAGCTGTGTGGAGGTGATAAGATTCAGTCAATCCAGATGCCCCCATATTAATTGCTTTGAAAATAAACAGCAAGCCTTAATTTCATATGGAAGCTAATGTGGTTCAGGACTGTCTTCCATGTAGCCATTTAATAGAGGAAATTAGATAAGTAATATGAAARAAGCATCTTTTACACAATTAAATTAGAATCAAGGATAGAAATTTTCTGTACAAACTGCAAGAAAAATTAACCGATAGGGGATAGGAACATCTCAAGGGTCCTCTTTACAGAGAGCTATTTAAACAATCAGAACTGAGCATTTTTTTAAATTAACACACATCCGTGTTTTCAACCTGGGTGATAAATGCTACCTCTCACACAGGCTGCCAGCTTCACAAAGCTTCTTTGTTTCTGTTGCAGCTGCCCAGAGGAAACTAATTCTAATCATCCTCCCCATATTATTTGCTCAGTCTGAGATACTAAATGTAAACTGTAAATGTATGTAGCTCCCTCTTGGCTGCAAGTGCACAAAATTGAAGTTTCAGAATGGCTGGGCACTGAACACTGTGTAAGGAAAGGGGTCTGATTCAGTGATAMACACAGATTTTTCATTAATAAAATAAAACCTTATATTCATTTTGCCAACAGCATTTTCCAGCAAGTCTAATTTAACCCTCATCCTTGGTGTGAAGTGCCACTATTCAGTATTGATTTTAGGAAGTTCCTCAGGGGCATTCATCCCACCAGTGCCTGGAAGACTTTTTCCCCTTTCTGTGAAGGGGAGTTTATTAAACAGTTTATTATCTGTTTATTAAGTCCGAAGTGAAAGCATGTCTCCACTGATGACAGGAAAAGCATTGCTCGAAGGAAAACTTCATCAATACATCAGATGGTTTTTACTTCCTTTTGCTGCTCTTGAAAAGCTTGAACAAAACTGCTGCAGGTCTGTGCCAGGGAGGAATGCAGGCTGGGCACAAACATCCTTCCTTGACCAGTTCTTCCCTGAGTCACTGCAGGTTTTTCAGAAGACAGCTGCATCCTTGTGTGCACAGCAGCAGGGGAATGATCAACAGATTGACTTTTTTCCACAGAATCATTCTGGATCAGTGATGGAATTGTCCCCTCCCTAATGCTGGAGTAGTGAGCAGCACTGCTTGTACATAGGTATCACTGTTTGTTTGCAGAKGACTATTTACTTCTGCTGCCTTACTGAGTTGAAATTTTCCATGCTTTGTATCTATCTTGCCCTAACTTCCACGGTTGGAAAACTTGCAGCAGAAATGCTTTGCTGAGTCTCACTCAGAAGCTGTGGCCATTGCAGAACACATGAAAGTGCTGTTKATCTGTGCATAGCTGCACTCCAGGCAGACACTGAATTCCCTGCAGAAGGAAGGGATGTTCTSAGCCCTGGGGCTGGCAGGGGCTTGGCAGGGCTAGGAGTGCAAGCCGTGACCCTGGCTCACTCCAGCAGCCTGGAACAGCCACACGGTGTTCCTGAGTGCCGAGCCAAAGGAGAGCTCCTGCTTCCTCCCTGCTGCCCTTTGCCAGCACAGATGGGTGGGGGAAGCTGGAGGATGGGACAGAGAYGGGGGTATGAGAGTCAGAGGTTACTGGGGAAGGCAAAGAGCACAGAACTACCAGTCAGCAGGAATAAAACTGCAAAACCAGATGAAGACTTCAGTTGTTGAACATGGGGTGTAGATTAAAACTGACACTAAATCTGCAAGTGTGCTTGGCTCTGGARTGGGCTGAAATTCTGAAGAGGGCATTGCAGCTTTCTAATTTCCAGCATTWAAGAAGTACTGACAAAATCTAAGATTGCCAAAGGGTCAGCACTAGCAAATATTGAGGAGTGGAGACTGCAGCTCAGAGTTCTAAATATCAAGCTTCATATCCTGTCATAATAGGTCTGTGTTGCCTGAAATGGTACAATGCTAATTTGGAGGATTTTATTCCTGCTGCAGTCACCATGATCAGTGACATGGAACTCCCTGACACCAGAGTTCTTGTGAGTAACTGCAGCCTCTCTCCTTTTCTGTTTACCTGGCTGGAGACACGCCAGAGATCTTCCAGACGTGCCTGGCACTCTCTGCTGCAAATGGGAAACAGCTGCTGTAAAACAAGCAAGAGGTTTAAAGTGAAAACTGGGCTTACACTGTTGTTATAAGTGTGCTTAAGGGAAGCCACAGGAAGTTTTCACACCAGGCTCGCAAATCCTGAGATCTAACTAGGGCACRGGGCTCTTTCTTGGAAAAAAAAACGACAAAAAAACAAAAAAACCCATACATTGAAAAACTTGTTTGTTCTGTGAAAACAGAGCACAGGAGAGTTTCAAAAGGCTCAAGAAAAAAAAAAAGCAGATGGAGCTAAAGCTCAGCATTTTTCAAAATCTATTACTGCTTTATTCTCTAATGTGCTGCTACGGTCAGGATTGACTTTGGTGCAATGATCTGTGACTGCAGAAGGCAGCTTGTGCACGAGTTTTTAAACTTGGAACCAAAGTCAAAGGGGTTCTTATTCTCAAATAAAGGCTTTCCTCAAGTTATTCACTTGCTGCTCAGTCAAAATACGTAGTGGCACAGTCACATCTTTAATCCTGTCAATTTTTATCTCTTGAAAATAAAAGTAGCACTAATCCTGCAGATCAAGCCTTGGAAGGCGCAATGCAACGGTTCCCCTTTGTTTGCAAGTGAAGAACCTGCACCTTAACCTGTACACAGCTGTCCCTGTCTGCACTTGATGACGGCATAACAAAGTAACAGCACAGGAACCTCTCTGAATGCATGAACTCCCTCGGGTTGYTTTAAAGTTTAAGAATTGGCTTCTTTGTTGCACTCTAGGCAGGCACGGATACCCTCAGAAATAAACAATTGTATCAATGTAGGATCATCCTCAAGGGTTACACTGCACCAGCCACCATGGTGCACAGTCACCGACCCCTCCCACGCTCCCGGTGTCACTGTGCAGGCAGCAAGCACGGCTGKGAGACAGCTGCCAGCCCTGGTTTCCTGCCTTGGGGACAGGAGTCCTACCCTAGAATTCAGTTTTRCCAGGACTGGCAATGCACATTGCTCTGGTACCTCTCAGACGTGGGCAGTACAGCCCAAACACATGGGTGACTTTCCAAGCACTGTGGGCTGAGCAAACACTGAGCAGCAAATCTCTGCTCTCTTTGTCCGGTTAAAATTATGCCATAGTGCAAAGAAAACAAATCATCTGCTAGAGTAGTTCCTGTCAGTACAAAAGAAATGAACTCAAAATTACTGTTTCCATTACACCGAGATGGATGCACTAGGTCATGTTTCTTTCCCACTGGTCTTGTCACAAGGCGAGTGTTTCACCAAGCAAACAAAAACAGTAGCCAGACTGTTTACTCAGTTTAGTTTATTTAAAAGTACTGAGCAAACATTAAATTGGTGGCAGAGGCCCAAGCACAATGAAATTTTTCACTTTATTTAAATACAAAGTATTACAGATMTGGAAGAACAAAACAGCCCACACCATCTGAGTGTATTACACAAAGGTGTGGATCACAGTTCAACTTGCAGAACAAACATCTTCCCCCACCATCAACGGGGCAGTGCTGCTGCTTTGGCACTTGTACAGTTGTAGCACTCAGGAGCTCCCCCGTGAAATGTTTCAGCTAAAACTCCCCTTTCTCCATCCTTGCCTCATACTGTCTCTCAGATTGTTTCCTACGGTAAACATCATCTGCAGGAAAAGATGTTTTATATTAGAGTTTCCCCAATGCAGGATAGTGTTAAATACATTAATCCTGACATCTCTTTTAAAACTTTTCAATCCAAACTTCTCTTGAACATGCTGACTGACAGGCAACTGGAAATTCCAACAAACACAAATCCTTATTACTACTTAAAATAGCTCATGTTCTCCCTCCCATACAGGCTAAAGTTCTTTCCATCAGTACCAATGAAATGATTTTTGTTTTCTAGAGAAACTGTTTCCAGTGCAATACAGTCATTTCTTGTCTACTTTCCCACAAGGATAATTAAAATTACAAATGCCCCAACTAGCTGAAGTGGAAGGGAAATTAAATTATAGGCATGAAGTCAATGCCTGAAGGCTTCCAGCCTGGCTTCAGTATTTTAGCCTTTCTTATATAAACAAAACACAGGAATATTCCCACCTTCATGGCTTTCCCAGTCATGTTTCCTGCCTCCCTGCTCCTGATACAACATACAGCTGAGCTGATCCTTTTAGTGAAGAATCACAAAAAATTATAACAGCGTTTATTAAAGAGAAGAATGTCACATTTGAAAAGTAAATGCTTTAACTTAAAGAAATTAAACGCCATAGCCAAGTTCTCATGATTCATTCYTATTTTTYTCAGTTGTAAAAGTCACATTTCAGATGACCCCACATCTATGCTTAAATGCTGGCAAACCTCATGAGTCTCTTCTAATGTAAAAAATCATCACAGAATCAGAGAATGRYTTGGGTTGAAAGGGACTTTAAAGATCACCCMRTTCCATCCTCCTRCCATGGGCAGGGACACCTTCTCCTAGACCWGTTTTCTCCAAGCCCCGTCCAACCTGGCCTTGAACACTTCCGTGGATGCAACAGCCACAGCTTCTCTAGGCAACCTGTGCCAGGGCCTCACCACCCTCARAGGAAGAATTTTATTCTGTASTCTGAACCCAGATTTTTTGTTTGTTTCTGCCCAGTGTTTCTAATGGGGARCCAGAGCCTGACGTGCCCCATCCTGCCCGAACGGGAGCAGTGTTTGACCGAGCACCGGAGGGCCGCGGCCGGGCCGCGCTGACAGCGCGTTATTGTTACGGGACTCCCGGGCGCGGGGCTCGGGCTCGGCGATGACCCCGCACTCACAGAAGGTCTCTTTGCCGAAGCGGACGTTGATCATAAACCACTCCATGGCTCCGCCGAGCACRAAGAAGAAGGGCAGGAACCTGTAAAAGCCGAAGCGCCGCTGCCCGGGCACCAGCTTCAAGAGGTTCTTCACCCTCTCGCTGACCAGCATGGTCGGGCACCACCGGGGCTTTTGCCCTTCCCGGGTAGAGAACAGAGAGGGGCGTGTGAGAGAACGTACGGGATGTGCCGCAGTCACACCGTGACCGCAGGCGGTGGCGGGCGAGGAGCGGCCCCAGCGCGGCTCCGGCCTCTGCCTCTGCCTCGCCCCCGTCGCCACGGCGGCCATGGCGGCCCCTCAGCCCCACCACCCGCTGCCCTGAGGGGGGAACCGCAGCCAATCAGAACCGCGACCCCGCGCCGCGCGCCGCTCACCTCCCGCGCGGGGCTCCGCACGCAGCCGGACGGAAAGACGCGCGGGGAACCCACGTGACCCTCTCTCGTAGCGCCTCGGTGATTGGGCGAGGCGGGC